AAAGTCTTCCCCACTCAGAATTCCTGGTACCATCACTGTGAGGGCCATCCACCGAGTGGTAGAAGGATCAAAGGATCAGAATGTGTGTTTTACCTGTGTGTGGCACCAAACCTACCATTCACCAACAACAGACAACATACTGGTCTAGGAAACTGAAATATACGAAGAGTCGAGTAGTAATTCCATGTTCTTTATTTCAGCTCATAGGAACAGTGATTACATTTCCCCCCCCGAACCTCAGGCTTTATATACATTATTTACACAATGAGTACCGTCTGATTGGTTGATTATGTTTCCCTCCTGGAGCCTGATTGGGCTGCCAGTTGTTGAATCCTAGTATCCTACCGGCCTAATAGGCTGATTAACTTCCTCCTGCTCCTGCAGGCCAATCAGGTTGTTGCATTCTAGGATCCTACCTGCCTATTGTTCTAGGATCCAAGCTTAGTACATAACAGAAGTCCTCCTCAGCTGGCATCTGGATGAGCAAATTGCTACCTGCCATCCGCAGTCTGTGAAATGGGAACAATGCAGGCTAACACAGGTTTCGTTGTTGTTTACGAAAATAAAAGCAACACCGTCTGAAAAGCGCTTAAGCTGCCGTTCACATCTTCATGGAAGCCAATGAAAATGCTGATTTTCATGGCTGCAAAATGAGTGCTTTGCACACCCAAGGAGTTGGGGCTATCATGAATGATAACCAGCCTCAATTATTCTCATAGCAGACCCACTGAAATCAATGGCCACACTATAATTAGAGTAGGTGATGTTCTCTGGAACGTTGCTTAGGCAGTGTTCGTGTGACCATTGTTTGAATACATGAATACATGAGCTACAATCCATATCTATCCTGCAGTTTCTTGAGAGACACCACTGTTCACTGTTTCTCCAACCAGCTTCCATCTGTTTGAGAAACATCAGATGCATTCACTTTGCTGTGAAACAGAGGAGTGCGCATTTGAGGCAGCCATTGTGCATGCGTGGACGACAGCACATGCGCGGACGACAGCACATGCGCGGACGACAGCTTTGTGAATAGGAGTTGAGAGGGTTGCAGATGCAGGGAAACCAAACAGGCAAGGTGCATTAGGAGAAGACATCCACACCCCTTCTCCGGTGTGTACAATATGAGTTGAAACACAGTGGGGGGAATGAAACTGCTGCCTTTTAAGTCGTGTGCCTCCTCCATGTGCGGTCCGGAGGGTGGCAACACAAGGGCCTTCTCTGTAGTGGCTGCCTGTTTGTGGAATGAAGAAGATGAAGAAGAAGGAGAAGAGTTTGGATTTTATATCCCGCTTTATCACTACCCTAAGGAGTCTCAAAGCCACTAACAGTCTCTTTTCCCTTCCTCCACCACAACAAACACTCTGTGAGGTGAGTGGGGCTGAGAGACTTCAGAGAAGTGTGACTAGCCCAAGGTCACCCAGCAGCTGCATGTGGAGGAGCGGGGAAGCGAACCCAGTTCACTAGATTACAAGTCCACTGCTCTTAACCACTACACCACACTGACTTTCCCCAGGAAGGTTCAGCCTGCTGCCTTCACTCTCTGCTTTTAGGCACCAGCCAAAAAAGTTCCTCTTCAACCAGGCCTTGGGCTGATTAATATTCTACAGCCTTTTAAATGTGTCTGTGGGAAGGGGAAGGGGGTATAGTTTTGCTGTTTTGTTTTACTTATTTACTTGCTTTTATCCTGTATTTTATTCAGTGAACCGCTCTGAGATCTTATGAGGAAGGGCAGCAGGGCAGTATATAAAACAAACAAACAAACAGATTGTACATAGTCTTATCTTGCTTTACCAACCATAGCAAGATGTTTAAAACATTTAAAAGCATTGTGTGAAAACTCCAAACAATGCAATGTGCTTCGTGAAGTGTAAATGACCGGACTTCCTTCAGCGCAAAGAATTTTATCCCTTACAAATATCTGTCTCCTGGTATCTGAAATCTCATCAAGGGCCCTAGGGGATCCAAGCTTTGCTCCTCATCTACCCCACCAAAGGGGGGAAAACCCTCAACAGCAACCATTGTTTTATTTTATTTTTTTTAATACCCCGGAATAATGCCGCGCATCCTGGTGTGTTTTCTCTTCGTCTCATTGAACCAGCAAAAGGACTGCGCCAGCTCTGCTTGCTGCTGGTAGCTGTCACTAACACTCAATCTGTCTTCACAAAATGTTATTGCAAGTGCGTTCATCTGGGGTGTCCTTATTCGCGACAGCTGACCTTCATAGGTACATGTGACATTTAAAGAAAAGTTCTGCTTTACAGCCTTCCCTGTGCTTTTGGTTATAAATTATTTGTAGAGTAACAGTAATAATAATTGATTCCAGCCAGTAAGTAATAGAGTTATAAACAGCTCCCACTATTTAACGAAAGTAATGCCTCAGTCCCTGGCCTTATTTATTAGTATTCGAGAGCTCACCACAGCTCCTCTAAAATCAGTTATTGCTTAATTAAACTAGAAAAGATGACCTGCCGATGACTCTTTGTTCTTTCCGCAAAATACCAGCAGTGTAATTTCAGTTTTTCCTGCATGTTTATTTTTCAAGCACGACCCAAATACAGTACTGAAGTGTAAACAAACGTCAGGTAGATGAGAAAAGTGTGTATTTTCCCCCTTTGAAGCTTTAGATCTTTATTTCCACTCAATGTACTATCTGTTTAAAAAAAAAAATAGCCACTGCAGACATTTCCATTTTATTAGCTACTTTATAGCTCTCCTTATGTTCACAAGTGAATCAGTTCGAGAGATGGGATAGATACACTCTCAAAGAGGAAATATTCTCAATGACTTTTTAAAAAGCACCATGTTAAAACTTACTGCATTTCACCAGAAATGCAATATATCTCGTGAAGTGCTACAGTAGTTACATGTTTGGAATATACAGCAAGCAATGTCCACAGACATAAAACCAGAAATGAAAAGACCTCACCAGTAAATGCTCTGATGTATGAGGCAATCTCTCCATCAAATAACGGCATTAAGATTTCAAATAAATAATCCCCAATTAAATCCTATCACAAGAGAAAAAGGAAAAGGATGGCAGGCACCAGATTTCGCTCCGCTCTCCCCCACCCCACCCCCTGGTACAATGTAGTGATAACTGACAAATAAAACTTAATGCCACATTATCATGATGCAAATAAAAACGTACTGTATTCTTATATAAATGTCAAGGTTGTGATTGTAGCTCTGTATATCATTTCTCCGCCACTAGCTGGCACCCTCGCTTTAAAAATGCCATACACTTCCTTGAATCCGCATTTGGATTTTACTAATTAGGAAGCAAGAGACAGTGTTTTGTGGAGGCAACAGACAGTCAAGAAAACATCTGGGGTGAAACAAGCTGAAAGTTTATATTCGTGGGGTTGGCTGCTAAGCAAAGGGGCCTAGTGTCTAATGGGCCGCGTTCATTAATCAGAATCCAAGTGTTCTGGAAAATATTAGGACTTAATCCTTGGTGGATCAGGAAGCCGTGCATATAGCAACCAGGGAATGTAGACAATACTGATATGGAATCAAATTATTACTATCACAAATTATACACAGACAGTGAATGTTTTATATTTACTGAAAGTGGGGGGGGGGGGATGTTCCAGTGTGCCAGCTGATTTAACAAACATTCTCTCTCTCTCTCTCTCTCTCTCTCTCTCTCTCTCTCTATCTGTGTGTGTGTGAGAGAGAGAGAGAGAGAGAAATTTTGCTCTGCTAATTGCTACCTGGCTACCTTTGTTCCCTGGAGCCCAGGTGACAGCTGCCTCAAGAGGCTATTCTGTTGCTCCTCTTTTCCCCAGGCTACATTTTGTTGCCATCAACTGGCTCCGGTAGGATTGCACAGCTGTGCTTTCCAATGCTTGTTCCAGAACCTTCTCTAAAGCACAAGCCATGTAGGGTTCAGAGAAATCAGCCAGAGCAAGGACATCATTCAGCCATTCCCTTAAAAAGAGTCATCGACAAAATAGATCCAAATCGTGACAAATTGCACGTTGATCATGTTGGGACAATGAAAGCACAAGAAATTACACCAACTGGCCCGAAATTCCACTGAAACGAAATTGTCGTGTATTTAAGGGCAAAATCACTCTGTCCCGTGTGGCAACGTCAAGATTTCCGCATTGTGTTGTAAGGTCAGCAATACACCTTGAGATGCTCTTTTGGTACCTAGGAGTTATTTATTAATCTAAAAGCTTTTGGTAGAATGTTCCAAAGCAGAATTTAAAACTTATATTGGTCATCATGCAATATAAAAAACATACATTTAAATAATACTTGCTTCTTCTCATATTGCCTATGTCTACAGCCACTAATTAGTGCATGAAGATATTGAGTTGGATCCAGACTTCCTGCGACTCAAATTTGGAAAAAGCTGCTTCTTTCTTCTTCTTTTTTCAAGTTAGCTTTCTTCACAGTTTGGCTTTAACCTGTCAGCTGCATAGAGAACAGCTAGCCCTAAAAAGGTTGCTTGAAATACAAGTGTGGGGCTCTTTGTTTTTCCTTTGCTTCAGTTCAGATTCCAGGCACCGTACCCATTTCGTTTCCAATACAAACTGCCCATTTAATTGCACTGTGAGTTTTACGATATGTGCCCCAGGCAGCATTCTTTATAGGAAGTGCCTCCGTGTTTATATAGACATGTGGGGTTTGCTCACACAAAGCAAAGCCAGAAAAATCTTCCTTGAAGAGCGATAAGTTTTTTCACAGCTATATCATTTCAGAAGTGCTGATAGGCCAGAGGAGCAGAGGTGTGGTTGTCTTTTTGTTTCAATCAAATCAATATACAGTGGTACCTCAGGTTAAGAACTTAATTCATTCCAGAGGTCCGTTCTTAACCTGAAACTGTTCTTAACCTGAGGTACCACTTTAGCTAATGTGGCCTCCCGCTGCCGCCAGCGCACAATTTCTGTTCTCATCCTGAGGTAAAGTTCTTAACCCGAGGTACTACTTCTGAGTTAGCGGAGTTTGTAACCTGAAGCGTCTGTAACCTGAAGCATCTGTAACCCGAGGTACCACTGTAGCTCGGTTGGTTAGAGCGTGGCGCTGATAACGCCAAGGTTGAAGGTTTGATCCCTGTATGGGACAACGGCATATTCCTGCATTGCAGAGGGTTGGACTAGATGATCCTCAGGGTCCCTTCCAACTCGACAATCCTACACAAGGTTTTTCCCCCTTTAGGCTCCTTGAGTTCCCCTTCCCTCCTTTCGTACTACAAATGTGTACACAGTGCCAACTTAAAAGGCTGGTGGGTCGTTCTGTTTGCCAGGAGGTGATGGGACCAGAGGCCCTGATTGGAGTGACTTAAAATATGCAGCAGAAAAAGATTAGTGACGGAACCCGTGGGGGGGAAGTCCAGAGATTTGGTTGATTCTTTGCTTGTTTATATTTTTATTATTGATGATTTTGAATGCAAATTTTAATTTGTAAAACTAAATAAAAATTATTTTTAAAAAAACACCTCTGGAGAACTGCCACTAGTCGTTATCAAGAGGACTGGACTAAATTAGGGTTGCCATATTTAAAAAAGTGAAAATATGGCCACAAAAATTGTTGAGCTTCTCGGGGGGAGGGGGTTGTTGAGCTTTTTCATTTTACAATTTGCCAGAAAAATCTACACTTCTGACATGGGTTGCCATACACCCGGGTTTTCCCGGACATTTTTGCTAATTTCCGGAAATTCCGCCTGGATTCTATTTCCGGCGGACGAATCCCGGCTATGTCCAGGGAATTCCAGATGCATGCCAGCCCTAGTTAAATGAACCGCCATGGCTCTGACTCCATTTAAAGCAGCTGCCTGTGTTCTTAGGCCTAGGAGGCTTTGGGAGGCTTTGAGTAGATTCAATATCAGGAAATACTGGTGGTGCTAGAGGTCTCCCTAATCTGAATTAAAGGACTGAGGGAGATCCCAGGTAGGAGGAGCGTGTTCCAACTGGACTTCATTCAGTGCTAAAGTTCCAGGGATGCTGATAAACCACAACAAAGGGGTGAGAAGACAGGAGACTCCTGAGCACACAGGAGAGGATGGTGACAAGTTCTGGTCTGGTGCCACATCTCACAGCAGCATCACAAATAGCTCCAAGGGAGCATCTGATTGGCCACTGTGTGAGAACAGGATGCTGGACTAGCTGGGCCACTGGAGAGATCCAGTGTGGTGTAGTGGTTAAGAGCGGTGGACTTGTAATCTGGTGAACCAGGTTCGCGTCTCTTCTCCTCCGCATGCAGCTGCTGGGTGACCTTGGGCCAGTCACACTTCTCTGAAGTCTCTCAGCCCCACTCACCTCACAGAGTGTTTGTTGTGGGGGAGGAAGGGAAAGGAGAATGTTAGCCGCTTTGAGACTCCTTCGGATAGTGATAAAGCAGGATATCAAATCCAAACTACTCTTCTTCTTCTTCTTCTTCTTCTTCTTCTTCTTCTTCTTCTTCTTCTTCTCCTCCTCCTGTTCTGGCATTCTTAGCTTGCTCCAAACAAAGGTTGTGCAAGGCTGCGCATGGAACAGTTGTGGGTTGTTTCTTCTGCCAAGGAACCTAGGCTGAACTTTTCAGGGCAACAGATAAGAACTCATTCATTCATTAACTAGCTACTTGTTTGATCCTGCCTTTCTTCATCGAGTAGCCTTTACATGTCAGGTAAAAGGTAAAGGACGCCTGGGCGGTTAAGTCCTGTCAAAGGCGACTGTGGGGTTGTGGCGCTCATCTTGCTTTCAGTCCGAGGGAGCCAGCGTTTGTCCACAGACAGCATTCTGGGTCATGTGGCAAGCAGGACTAAACTGCTTCTGGTGTGACGGAAACCAGAGCGCACGGAAATGCCGTTTACCTTCCCACCACTGCAGTGCCCATTTATCTACTTGCATGGTATGCTTTCAAACTGCTAGGTTGGTAAAAGCTGGGACAGTGCAACGGTTGCTCACCCCTCGCGTGCGCATGTTCAAACCGCCAACCTTTGGATCGGCAAGCCCAAGAGGCTCAGTGGTTTAGACCACAGTGTCATCCGCGTCAATGTCTCCTCTTAAGCAATAAGGTTCACGCAATATTCAGAGTTAAAACCACGGTGTATCAATTGCATTAACCTTGCAGTTCAGCTCTCCTACAGAAAGGCAAATTAAAATGAACTTCCCAAAATGGAAAACAATTTTTAAAATGGGGAAAAAACACCTTTGTTTTGCTTCCTGCTTTGTGGCTCCCATTGGCAGTGTCGGACTTTGGGCTTTAACATTTCAGTGGCGCCCTGTGTGACACCCAAACTCAGACCCCCACCCAGCCTCTCACCTTCATTGTTACAGCACCCTCTGCAGCACCCTCTTGGCTTGACCCTAGTGCAGGCAAACCAATCACGCTCCCCTAAATCCACCTCTGTTGTTGATGGAGCAATGCCAGCAGTCAGAGTTCAACTTTATTCACTGGTGCAACTGGCAAACACAGTTGAGGATCAATTGGTTGAACTCATTGTTAATGAAGGGTTACAGCTCTGTTTGCTTCTAAAACAAGCAAGGCAAGTCCATTTTCCTGTGCCTGGCAGCAACCATCAGAGGCATTGACCTGCTGGGCAGGATACAATGAGCTTCTGCTTTCCCACTCTGCCAAACCAGAATTATGGCATCAGTGACCTGGACTTCTGCTCTCAGCTCAGGGTTCGTCCACACTTCCACTTGTTCTGTGCCTAGAAAGTACAGGGCTGGGTGGTTTTCTGCTTAAACTATGCTTTCTTGGCAAGTGTCCAAGTGGTTTTGCCTCTCCTCCACTGCTTTCTCCTGGAAAACATCAATCCAGAGAAAACCCAGCAGACATTTGCTCCGATTCAGCAGTCAATAGCGGGGGGGGGGGGGGTTCCCAGAGGAAAGCAGCAGTGTGGATGAGTCCTCAAGCAGGCTGATGCTCATTGGAACTGATAGGGTGGGAGGCAGGGAGCCCAACAGTAGGTGGCGCCAGAGCCAATGATAGGCAGTGCCAGCTATCTCTAGCTTTGTCTCCAACCTACTCCCAACAGTGTGACAACACTGAGACTAAGGAGGAGGAAGCTGACAGGCTGTGCTGTCCCATGAACTGTTTGTAAGAAATGGAGCAGGCAGGTGGTGTGGGGCTGAGAGAGGGCAGACTGGGGTTGGGGGGCAGTGCTCCATTTGTCCCAATGCACCAGGCCCCTTTTACTCCAACTGATGTAGCTGGAGAAAGACGATACTTTTAAAGAGAGCTGGAGGAAGTATGAGAGGGACTTCATATTGCATGGGGAGCCCACAGGTTTCTTTTGCCCCGCTGTTACTTCTAGCCTTTTCCTGAAATACCAAGAAAAACATCCAAGAAATTTTAGCAGAAGGGAACATAGGGTGAATGTACACACTGCGCATGACATTCCAGTGTGGTGTAGTGGTTAAGAGCGGTAGACTCGTAATCTGGGGAACCGGGTTCACTTCCCCGCTCCTCCACATGCAGCTGCTGGGTGACCTTGGGCCAGTCACACTTCTCTGAAGTCTCTCAGCCCCACTCACCTCACAGAGTGTTTGTTGTGGGGGAGGAAGGGAAAGGAGAGTGTTGGCCACTTTGAGACTCCTTCAGGTAGTGATAAAGCGGGATATCAAATCCAAACTCTTCTTCTTCTTCATTCAAACCACTTTCAAGACACAGGGTGAGGGGAAAATGGGTTGGATCCACAGGTGGAAGTGGTTTTTATTCAGCAGAAGCACCTATGAAGGTGAGAAGGGAGGAGAGACCATGGGGTTGCGGCACTCATCTCACTTTCAGGCCGAGGGTGCAGGCGTTTGTCCACAGACAGCTTTCCGGGTCATGTGGCCAGTATGACTAAACTGATTCTGTCGCAACAGGACGCCGTGACTGAAACCAGAGCACATGGAAACGCCATTTACCTTCCCACTGCAGCTATACCTATTCATCTACTTGCACTGGTGTGCTTTCGAACTGCTAAGAGCTGAGACAGAACGACGGAAGCTCACCACCATCAAGCAGATTCAAACTGCTGACCTCCTGATCAGCAAGCCCAAGAGACTCAGTGGTTTAGACCACAGCGCCACCCACGTCCCCATGTATACCTAAAGTGGACTTTTTGCTGGTATGCTTCAGCCCCTGGCTGACCACCAAAGTGACTCTCGGACCCCCAAAGGCTAGCCTTCAACAAAGGATTAACCTTCATTACAGATCTGTAGTTTGAATCAAGCAAAGCTTACCTTGAACCTGAACTTTTCAGGGGTATTTTCACTTTCTCCAAGATCCCTTCCAACTCAAACACTATGTGATTGCAATGGAACTCTTTATCCTGGGTTTCCCCATGTTCGGCAGACACTTTTGAGAGGTTTCATTTGGTATGGGACCACTATGTTTGACAGCACTTCAACAAGGATTGTCATGCCAGTCAAAGGACTCAATTCAGCCATGGATTCAATTCCATCTAAAACAGCCAATGCATTTGGTCCCATTGATTTCAGTGGGAGAGTCCAAGGTTGGCTGGGTCATCATGACCCATATTGAAATACATATTTGATATTCAGTGTGTTTTCTACACTTAAAAACTCTCATCACTGCATGGCACCTGAATTACAAGCGTATTTTGATTGTTTTGCTTAACTTCATATGTTTAAGAACACGTAGAAAACTATTCCACAGCTTCAGTTGCTCAACCTTTTCCTTCCCAAACAAAAGAATCTGTTTTATCTATTTCTTCTAGCTAAAGTTGATCTGCACTTGTTTACCACGAAAGGTGAATGTTACCTCTATAAGGCAGCACCAATCTGAAGGCTATTTCAGCTCCATGAAAGCACATCTCAAAATTAATCATTCAGGTATTATTCCATTTTGTGTGTTATACAGTTGACCTTAACTTAGATGTTTGTTTGTGTAAACTGCTTATATTACTATCCTCCTTATTAGTGTAAGAATATGATTAATCATACGGTCTATGAAAGCAGGAGAACTCAAATCATGTGTGTCCTGAAGGCAGGAAATGTCATCAGGTTATATATTGCCATAAATATTTGTAGTACTCAGCAGTTTCCAACTGTGCCTGTTGCAATGTGACCTACGATATTAAGCACTCGGGTGTGCGTTACTGAGCAGAAACATGAATGTATCAATGACACACCAGTGAATATCCCTTTTAACATGCACATCACTGATCAGACTCCCGTCAGTGTCTGTATTTAATGAATTCAGCTCTTGACAGAAGTGCTTCTCATTTACTCCTACAAAGGTATTATGTTTTATGCTTAAATTCTCACTTCTCATTTGACACAATCTCAAGTAGAGCTCAACTGTGTGAGGCATGTCACACATTAGTGGCAAATGGGCTATTAATTTGAGTATTATATTTTTACCCCTGGGGGATTACTGAGGCCTTTTTTTATGTATTTATAATTTTCTTCCATCGTGCCTCATTTTACCTGATTTAATATTTGATTATTTGATTTGTGTTGGGCATCCCTTAGAGGACTAGGTTAACAGGAAACTAATCCATGTAAATAATAATCACAATGCTTTCAGTTAAACAGTGGTGAGAACAAATTGTTTGTCCACACAGCGGGAAGTCCTCTTAATTCTCTTCCAGCCCCACCAGCAACAAGCAGTGATTGTTGAGACCCTACAGCAGCATGGGGTGGTGGTTAGAACAGTCTTCTCCAGCTTAGTCCCCGCCAGATATTTAAGACTACATCTTCCATCTGCCCCAACCATCATGGTCAATAGTCAGGGATGACAGTTCAGTCCAAAACACCTGGAGGTCACCAGACAAAGGAAGGCTAGATCTGAGTGTTGGACAGAAGAGACCTGGGTTCAAATCCCCACCCAGTCATGAAGTCCACTGGGTGTCCATAGACCAGTCACCATCTATCTCAGCCTAGCTAACTTCATAGGTTGCTGTGAGGATGGGAGAGAGAATCACTGATATCACCTGAAGTTCTTTGGAGGAATGTGTGTGTGTGTGATCATGGAGGAAGATATGGTGCATGAAATATATCTGAACATGACTTTTCAGTTATGCTCCCTACATCTAACAGGCTTACTGACTCTCTTATTTGATTTAGAACTGTATATCTATCGTGCTGGAATAGATACGAACAGGTTTTTCCTCAACATCTAGGTGTATAATATATTGACCAGGTACTGGATAATGTAGTTCTATATTTTCAGTTCACTTTTCCAGCAGGGCAGGCTGAACATCTCTTAACTTCTTCCAATCTTTTTCTGCAAGTATATTTTGAAGTGGTTGCAATGAGTCTCATTGTGTCCTCAAAAAATAGGTGGATTAACTGGGTTACTTTTTGAACTGAATATGCACAACTTTGTCATGAATACCAGTTTGTGTTCAAGGGAGATATAGCGTGCTAAACATAAACCCATTCTGTGGGCGATGAAGAATTTGTGTCACCAGCACTCAGAATGGTAGGGCAAATGCCTTGGAGGCATCAATCAAAGTTGATGCCAGGATTGCGGTCTTCTAATTTTAAGGGTCCATGTTTTTAAGGGCCAGCACTGCAACTACCATTGCCTCCTCTGAAATGCCTTGCTATATCAGGGCGCGGTGCTGGCTTGGTTATGGTAGCTGAGCTGCCTTTTATTCCCCCCCCCCCAAAAAAGGGTGCAGAGCTGAGACCCCCACCAAGCTAGGAGGCTATAGCACACATTTCCTCTGCTGCCAGCCACCCCATCACAGAGCAAGCTCATGGACGTGGGGAGCTGCCTATGAGAAGGGTACTGTGTTGGAGAGAGCAGCTTGCCTGAGACTCCCTCAAACCTGCCCTGTAGGGATTATCATCATTGTAGTCATGGACCAAAATTTCTGAAGGTTCTCACAGGACTCTCGCTGCTTGCACACTTCAGCAGCTTATATAGTGCAGGGAGCTGTGATGTCAGTATCTGGTAGGATGTGCAGTGGGCTGGTGTGATGTGATGTTTTCTTGTCCCCATGTGTAGATTAACTCAATCTATACATTGTTAACATGGGCAAGCATCGTCTTCTCGGTGATTTGTGTGTGCCGGTGGTATTGCCATGGATACTCGGTAAGCAGCTGTTAGGGCTGCTACGCTCTCTTGTTTTGTGTTTCTGTCGTTTTCTTCTCCTCCGTTTTCCTGCTCAGTGAAAGCCAGCCATCACCATGGCAGAACTCGAAAGCTACCTGTCTAGTCCTACTGGACTGGCATAAATCATAGTACTCCGGTTTAAAGGGGCTATATAGCTTGCAATTGTATAATTAGACCAAAGAATTAGCAGTGTTTACAAGTAATCATTGCTGGTTGTTCGATGAATGCCTGCCAGTGTGCTTAAGAAATTGCTGGGGCTAATAGAAAAAGTGATATTTGTTCTGTTTAGAAGCCAGAAAATGGCAACTCAGACCAACAACATATATTTAAATTCAGCCTGAGAGAGTTGGCTGTTATTGGCTGAACACAGACCCCATGGTGTTTGCTAGCAACCACTCCCACAATCAGATCTGCATTGCAGTCATGGAAGGAAAACGATCTATTTTTTTTCTACCTTGCTCATCAGGGGTTCTAAGAAGCAAGTCAGAAAGGACACATTCACATCTCTCTAGTTTTGATCTTCAGAGCAAATAATTTAAAAATTAAATATGCATCAAATAATGCAGCTATGTCTCATTAAAATTCTCAAATTAATAATCACAGGAAAGCTTACATTCACATTGCAGATTTATTCATCAAACAAAGGGACTTCAAAGAGAAAGAGTGACTGTAGAATTAGAAGTCATTATCACAAAGAGCAACAAACTGAATTAGTTATCCTTAAATAAAATATGGAAACATCTCAACTTCCATTCTCTGCTTCCTCTGGCCAAACAGATCATATTTTATGGTCCAGTCCTAAAATTTCTTCCGTCTGTAACTGAGTGCACAGGATGGGTTGAACCAAATCACAACAGCAAAACAAACAAAACAGAAAACAAAATAAACACACCATCTTGCATACTGATGTTGTGGTTATGTTTTGACAGCTCAAATATTTGGAATTTAATGTCTTGTCTCCTTGCCTTCACTTACATATATCTGAAAATTAAAAAACAGTTATGAGAAAAGAGAAGCAATCTCATTTATATTTGCTAATCTTGCATATTATTGAAGAATTACAAGCAACCACATCAGGTTTTTTGCAGGCACACGTCATGTGTGAAATTACTGCAATGTACCTGCATGTGCAACCATCATTTATTAGTTTCCTTTTTAAGATATTTACATACTGCCCTTCACTATATTTACAAACAAGAAAAAAACAACTACAAAATAAACAAAAGCATTAACATCATTCTCACAAGTTACATAAACAGCATAACTTAAAAACACCATTAAAATGGCTTAACCTATTAGCCACTAAAAACCTGGTGGAAAAGGTGGGTTTTCAACAGGCATATGAAAGAACAGAGTTGTGGGAAGGTAATTCCAAAGATGCGAAGCCACCACTGAAAAAGACCTTCCACAGGTCGCTGCACTCAACAGGTCCTTTAATACAAGAATCACTAGGAAAGTCTCTTCCACTGATTTTAGTATGTGGGCAGGTGGATGGATATAGGAGAAAGCGTTTTCTCAGATATTTGGGGTCCAGTCCGTTCAGGGCTTTAGATATCAACTTAAGTCCTTCAGTTAGGCCCAGAAGATAGCTGGCAACCAGTTGCTTCTGTCTGAGAATGGGTGTTATATACACAACAACCCCGCTACTCATATCAATATTCTCACCATCGCATTCTGCGTTAGTTGCAAATTCTGGAGAGCCTTCAAGAGTTGGAAGACCCATATAAAGTGTATTATAAAAGTCCATTCTGGAGGTTATCAGGGTGTGGATAACTGTAGTCAGGCTATTCCTGCCCAAAAAAAGCTGTAGCTGATGGACCAACCTAAGCAGCTGCTGAGGTCGCCTTAGCTTCAAGTGACAATGATAGCTCTAGACTGAACTCCCAAACCACACCCTTGCTCTTCAGTAAGTGCAATACCATCCAGAACATGTTGTCTGACCAAATCCCAGACATGGTAACCCCCAAAGCACAGAGCTTCTATCTTGGTTGGATTCAACTTCCATTTCTTGATCCACATCCAGTTCAATACCACTTCCAGGCATTAATGCAGGACCTTCACTTTGACAGGGTTGGTGAGCAACCCAAGTAGGGGCAGCAGCCCCTACCATATTTATACATGTGTTTTATATGCCAACTACATCTTTAGTCTCCTGCTTTCAGAGACTGCTGCCAATGAAAGTTTGTGCGCAAAAGGCTGTTGTTTTTGCAAAGAAGGAAGCTCCACCCAAATCATTTTTTAAAATTATCATATTTGCATACTGTCCTTTATCTGAAGATTACAGGGTGGTTCACCACATAAAAATACGCTGAATTGGGCTAGATGAAACACATTTGAGCCCTTTTTTATTTTATTTTTTTGCTTTTGCCATTTTTGCAACGTCAGTACAGATGAGAATTCAAATGGAAATGTTAATGTGCATGAAAGCCAATGCAGATTTAGATGGAGGTTCCACTCACAAGGTGTCACCAGGGCCGTCTTACCCATAGGCAGTAGGGGTGCGGGGCACCCGGGCGCCGGGCTCTCAGGGCGCTAGGCCGAGAGTCCGGGGCCCGAGAGTTGAGTCTGGGGAAGAGCCCGTCTGTTGGTTGGACTCTCCTGCTGCGGGTGCTCTGCGCTGCGAGTTCGGGGACAACCAAGCCAGTGAGATGCTGAGGCGGCCGGCCAGCTCCACCCTCCTGCATGCCTGGGACTGGGCAACCAGGATGGGTACGTACCAGGCGGATCTTTGCACCCCGGCACTGCATATGCTTAAGACAGCCCTGGGTGTCACAACACTTTGGGGACAACCATGCTTATTTAGCTATAGGATTCGAAGTGTTTGTGTTCCTACCTCTCCACTCTAACAACCCTTAGGAGAATTAGATCAAAGCTACAAAGTATTAAGCATGGAGATGGGGGGGGGGGGAATTGATCTATTTTGACAGAATATGAATTGGATGATACATTTTAACGCCATGTAATTTTGTACATGGGCATAGCCAGGAATTCTGTTTGTGGGGGGCAGGCTATTGTTAAGGGGAGACGGAACCTCAGATTTGTATTGATTTAAGGGAGGCAGCTGCACCCCCACAGCTACGCCCATAATTTTGTACACCTCGAAATTGTGTTTTTTGGTATAAAGTTTACAGGTTTCCAGTCCAGACAGGGGTTAGCATTGCAGAGGAACCGGCCAGGCCCAGCGACTCTGGAGGGCCCCCGGCCAGCTGAAGCACCCCAAGGAGAGGGTAGCATCTCTTGGGTGGTGGGAGACCCTCCTCCGCGCTGCAACCGCATGCCTTCTCCTCAAGGCAACTCCGGGGCAAAAGCGGCACAACAAAGCAGGGGCTGCTGCTGCTCGCGTGCCCACGAAAAACAGGCAAGTTCGCGGCTGCAAAACACTTGCAAGTAAACAGCTGCCGCTGCTTCGAATCGTTACTCTGGGAGGCGCCATGGCTGGGTCTCCCAGAGGAGCGCGGGGGGGAAATGGAAGCGGCGGCGGCGGCGGCGGCCTCTTGCTCAGCTGCGCTTATTATGTTATTAGGGTTCTCGAAGCTACTAACATGAGTTTGGCCAAACTGCGGGACGCAGTAGAAGACAGGAGTGCATGGCGTGCTCTGGCCCATGGGGTCACGACGAGTCGGACACGACTAAACAACTACAACCATTATATTATGATGTTATTTGTGGGGAGCCATCAGGGCCGAACGAAGCAGCAGCTCGGTTGAGCAACCTTCCTCCTCTCTTTAAATTGTATTAATAAAGGTGTGTGGGTTTTTTGTGTGTTACAAAAGCGCATCCATCGCCTATATTTCCAGACCTTTCTACAGCTCAATTATATATTCGAAGTGAGTGGCCTTAATGCAGCGTCCCCGTCCCCGCTTCAGACGTTGTTGAACTACAACTCCCATCGTCCCTGGCCGCTGGGCCAAATCTGGCGGGAATGGGCGAGTTCAACAACAACTGGCGCCCCCACCGCGAGGCTCCTGCGTCCCTGAGGTAAAGAGGCAAGAGAGGCTATGCGGGTGCGCGCGCGCACCCCGGCCCGCCTACGCGCGCTTTCCCTCGCAGCCACGTCAGCTGTCACTTCCCCCCCACCCGCCACACACGTCAGCCCTCCCTTTCCCACTCGCCGCCGTCGCCGCGCGCGCGATCCCGTCCCGCGTGCCAGCGCGCTCTTTGTCTTGGCCGCGGCGCCGCCGTTGGGGAGGACTGGGCTGAGGCAAAGGGAAGGTGGGTGGTGGTGGTGGTGGCGAGGGACCTTCCCTCCCACCCACAACCCGGAATCGGCCCTCACTCGTGGTCAGGCACGAGCACGAAACACGGCTTTCACCCCCCTCCCCCCGCGTCTCGAGCGCCCTCATTAAACGCTCCGCGCTCGTGCACGCGCGCCCGCCTCCCCTCCCCCCCTCCCGCTAAACGCCCGTTTATTTGCTGTTCTCCCTCCCGCCCCCGCGAGCCCGCCTTCCTCTCACGTGCCCCGCTTTTCCTCTGACCCGCCCCGCCCACCCTCTTCCTCTCGGCTCCATATTGAGGCTGAAGGAGGCTAAATCCAGTCACAAAATGGAGGTAACGTTTGTCGGCGCCGCCGCCGCGCGGGAAGGCAGGCAGGCAGGGAGAGGGTCCTGCAACGGCGGTTGCGGAGCGGGCGTGAGAGTGGGTGGGTGGGGGTTGCAGAGGGAGCGGGCGCGTGGCGCGGCGTATGAGGGGCTCGCGGGAGGGATAGCGATTGGCTGGCTCGGCTCCTGGCCTTCTCCCCATCCACCTCCCCCCCCCTTCCTACCACCTCGGTTCTTGCTTTATCCAGCTGCAAACAGCTAATTATCCGAAATGGCGCGAGAGGGCGGCGGCGGCGGCGGCAGTTGGGCGGGAGAGGCTTCTGTTGGGGGCCATTGTAACCCTGTGGAGAAAGAGGCTCGAGTTTGAGCGAGAGGAGCCGCAGGAGGCCCTTTCCTAAGTTGAACCCAAACCAAAATCCTTCCTTCAACTCTATAGTAGGCTTGAATATATATATATATATATATATATGCAAATTACAACCCGTGACTTGATCCAAGTGCCTATCACTCGATGGTCTCGCCGGTTCTCATTCGACTTCCCGAGCCACTTGTGCAGCTTTCGCCTTTTTAAAGTTTAAAAGCAGTAAGGTATAACCTTTCGAGTAAAATCCCAATGACTTGAACGCGACGACGAAACACATCCTGAGAACCTGGCTGAGGACAACCCCCTCCCCCCCAAAAAATGTATTAGAATTTGCTATATCTTTTAGCTGCATAACCTGTGTGTGTTTTTTTAAATGAAAATAAAATAGTTAACAAAAAAAAAAGCACCCAGTTCCTCCTACACAGCAGCAGAACAGCTAAGACTAGCTGCCTCCCATGAATCAGTTATTCGGGTGCTTTCAGTTCTAATAATAATATGGGATATCTTGCACTTGTCCACGTGGCCCAATGGTGCTTGAGATGAAAACACGTTCTCTTCCCCCACCCCAATAGTTCTGAATAACTGGTGGTTTGACGTTGATTTTGAATTGTAGCTGTTCCTAATTCTGTCTGTCTTGCTGGGTATTTTGGTGGCTGTCACTAAAGCCAGTGACTTGGAGTTTTCTGGTTCATGCAAACAACCAGGCCTTGAAATGCCTCTTTAATAACATTATCTAGCTAATTATCTTTCTCTGGCAGTATGATCAAAAGCCTGGCAGCTGAATTCTGAACGAAAGTAATGGATTCAATGCCCCATTGAGTGATTACAGTTTTGTAGATGAGTCCCCTTTATAAATTCATTCTATCCTATGCTTTTTGATAGAATTACTTGCGAGAAAGCTCCATAAGGTCCCAATTTAATTTTTATTATATCCATTCTGTAACCAAAAAATCAACATAAGGATGTGAATAAAATATCTTTTTAAGATTGGATGTGAGAAGACTTTCCAGACCTTGAAATCTTAAATTAGATTTAATTAAAACTGAACCTGATTGTGTAGCTTCAATGAAAGTCCTCCTCAAACCAATGCTGAACTAAAGTATAACAAGCATTTTTGTATGATGACATGCCAAATAATATTTTGCAAGTCTGGAGACAACTATCCATGATTAAAACCTGTGCACATGTAGACTTGAAATGTCAAACACATGTTGCTTCAAAAAAACTATAACAATGTTGTGCTCTACATTCCATTCTGGTTTTTGTTTTTTAAAATTTCTAGCTGACATACAGATTTTATCTGTTATCCTGTTAAGCTTCAGAAACACTTGATCAGGCACCCCCAACCTTCGGCTCTCCAGATGTTTTGGACTACAGTTCCCATCATCCCTTACCACTGGTCCTGTTAGCTAGGGATCATGGGAGTTGTGTTCCAAAACATCTGGAGGGCCACAGGTTGGGGATGCCTGCTCTTGATGGTATAACACTTGCTGTTTTGTACATGAAAATTAGAAATAACCTTCTGAAACATCTAAGTATTGTTTATGTGACTTAGCAGTCTTGCCTAATCCTGTTTACCTGTAGCAGGAAAAGGGCTTTGTATTGTACCTGTAACAAGAACTATATGCTGTTCATGATACTAATGTTCTCCTTGGCCTTCTTGCTGAAACCAGCTATGCAGGGTGTATTGGGGCTTGCTTTTTTGCACTGTTTCAGGGTTTGCATTCTCTCTATAGCTTTGCTTATCTAAGCTGAGTGTTAGGGACCTGGGTCATAGAATTGTAGAGTTGGAAGGGACCCCAAGTGTGAGGTGTTTAACCTCTTCAGTAGAAGCTACTGTCTGTCTTGAGTTATAAAAGGATTCAGAGAAGGCCTCTTGAATTTCTTGCTTTAATTGGCCATTTCTTTCTTCCATTATTTTAATGTAACTCTGGTTTGGCAACAGCTGTCCCCTGCAAAAAAGCAAAATTTAGAAGGATAAATGTCCCTGCTCAGCATAACAGGTGAGGGCTGATATTTTGGACCAAAACTACACCTGCTCTGCATACAAATAAATGGAGTAAGAATCTTTAGGACATAATTGCTAGATTTGACCTAATAGCACAGCCCCTCAGCTTGCAATAGTAGCGTAATTGCAATGAACTACATTGCAGGGTTGTTGTAAGCCACTTCTGTCCAACTTGGGCTGTATGCACCACCCGTACCCACCCTGTTTTGCAACACCACCAGACCACACTGCAGGGTTGTTGAAAACAACGCAGCCTGCAATTATGAGGAGTGAAACACTGGAGGGTTGTCCTAAATCACTCCCCCAGCCAGCCCCTCTCCAACCTGAATTATGGGGAGAATTGTATTGGCAGAGCTATTTATTTAAATGTAGTGTTTCACGGGAGATATGAGGCTAGAAAGATAAGCAGTGCCTCTGTTTGCTGGCACTTTGTAAGGCAATGCACATGCTAGTGCCCGAAACTGGGGGCTTCTCTGTTGAATTGTTATGGGCACCTTTATCCTGCCGAGGGATTTTTAAATTATCGCTTCTCTGTGGGCAGCAGGAAATGGCGCATCTAGGCAACAACATGGCCATCGCTGTGAGATAGGTATCTGAATCTATATCAAGGATCAGAACTGCGGGTTCAGTGATACCCCAGCTGTTAAGCAGGGCAACAAGGACGTCAGTCCTTCCCACCCCTTTCTTTAAGCCGCTGGCCTAGTAAGAAAGGCCGCCTCTGCTTCAAGGACCCGGATGTCTCGCAGGAACGAGAGGCGCCAGGTTTGAAGGCAAAGTAGCTGTGACGTAAGCCTTGCATGGAGAGGCAGGTTTGGTGGACTCAAACAACACAATGAGGGGGAGAGGCGGAAGAGCCGAGGCGCTGGCATAGGGGTGAGAGAAAGGGCGCTGGCTGGCTGTTAAAGGGAGACTGGGCTCTGATTCCTTCCCGCTCCTCCATCAGGCCTTCCTTCAGTCAGTGGACTATAGGGGCTGAAGCACAGAGACCTGCCTTTAAACTAATCTCGGGTACTCTAAAGCATGTTTACACACATCTGAACAGTGTCTGATTGGCTTGCTATTGAATTGGCTTCCACAATAAATAAAGATACTGTCGCTTTTTAAAATAGTAATATATTTCCAGTGATACTGTCAGGTTATATGCCTGGCTGACCTATTCAGGCATTTGTTCCCCTTTTTTGCTAGCTACTGCTTTGCAATTCAGGGTGCAAACAGATGAGTTCCATATTTCAGGATAAATGGCTTGAGATTAAAGACATTGTTTCATTCTCTCATACAGTACCATCCCTTTAAAGTGGCTCGCATATGCTTGCTTCACTAAAATAAGCCATTTATTTGTATGAGAGTAAGAAAGTAAAAACTTTTAGGAACGGGTAAATTACTCGTGCTACTTGTTATCTAGGTTAAAAGGAGCAACTGAGTCAGAACGCTCTCCAAAAATGGCGTGTAAAGATGAGAGAGAGGCTGAAGATTACAAGAGGAGGGGAAGAAGATCTTCACAGGTGGAATACTTTATTTTTTCCTAGTTCTGTTACATGGGTAAACAGAGAATTCTTGCTTTCTGCTGCTTTGGTAACACTGTGTTTGCTCAGACGCTACATTGCATTCTTCTGCTTGGCTCTTACGCATGTATTATGCTTTTCATTCACCACACTAGTTGGTGATTTCTATAATAGCTTCTAACTTAATACATATGCATGTTGAGAATGTTACTATGAAGTCTTGAACTGGAAAACCAGCAGTGCTGTGTCTATAATGGTATAAAAGTGATCAAATTCTATGAACAGGCATTTTACTAAGCTTTTAATGGTTCTCCAGAAATACAATATACAGAAATGAGCAAGGACTGAGTATTGCCTGTTGATTAGGATCTAGAAATTTCAGACTGCATCCATTGTTGGATACGCCTTCATAAAAAGATACTCAGTATAGAAAACTAGTGTCTTGGGGGTAAGGTGTTCAATAGTCTTCAAAGCAGAGGAGCAATACGTCAGATAAGGTCATGTCTGCAATCTTAAGGTGTGTCAGACCAAACATAGGTTTACCATATGACTGAGAACAAGGCCAGATGCTGCCAGGAGTGGGGGTGATCAATTTCTGAACCGGTTGTAGTGGGCAATATTTTAGAGATAGCAATAAAGCTGTTTTTGAGAACCCATATATTTCCCTTCTCCAATCCCCCCATGACTTCTTACAAACTCTGAATGGTGGCTTGTAATGATGTATGGGGTTATGGTTTTAGTTTTGTGTTGTATAATTGTAGAGTTCCAAGAAACCACAAGATCTTACTGTGAGGCAGCACCATCCACCGACTGCACACAGATGAATGGAATGCATAAGATATAAAGACATCCTGTTTGTGGAAGGCAGGAGGAACAAGGGAGAGCTAGCTGCCATTTTGCAATGAGTCCATCATGACAAAGGCCCTGCTTTATGGGAACTTACCAGAAGTTTAGGTTTTTTCTAGCTGCCCTCATCTTTTGGCAAGGGAGATGTGGAGCCCGTTCCTTGCTCTCTAGATTGGATCTGGGGTGGGTATCATCCCCATAAGAGTTCTGAACATAAGAAGAAGGAAGATCCCAACCTTGCTCTCCTAACTCCAAGCATGAATGTTTGGTTGTTGGTGACTTAGATGTAAGGAACACCTTGGATGCTTGCTGTCAAAGCAGCTCTGAAGAGAAATGTTGGGGTGGGACACTTCAGTAGTAGAAATCAAGAGCTTCAAAGAGCCTCAAGACCCCACCTAAGTAAGGAGGTTGAGGATGGCCATTTTGTCAAATCTTGCATCTGGAGGTCCAGCAGGAGATCAGAGACTAAGGCTGTAGTCCTGCACAATTTAAGCCCCACTGAAAACATTGGGACTTGCTTCCTGGTAAACATGCATGTTTCACAGGAAAGGAGAGACTGGATGACCACAAAGCTTCAGCTTGGCCACGAAAGACAACCAAAATTTGTGAGCTTCTGTCTTCCGGTTTGGACCAATTTATACCATGTCCATTTGGCAACCAGCTTCCATAATTCAGGTTTTGCCTAGAAGCCCCCTAGTATTCCAAAATAGTTGCCATAAAAACCATGATATGAAAGATTAAAGTCTTGTAGAATTGGTGATGTGAGCTATGCTTTTCTGCTCAACTGTGTTAGCTAGGCATACATTTCTCCACTAATAATTGGGAATGCTGTGGGCATCTGTTAAGAAGGCTGTTGCAGAACATTGTATTTGTTTCTCTGAAAACATGTGGCTGTTAAGCCTCTTGTGTAGGGACAAAATAAAATATAATTTAGGGAAATCTGTTACTTAGTTTGGAGTCTCCCCAGAAGAATCAATAGCTTAATTCAGAGAAATGTACTACTTTCAAGGAGCGATGGTTAAAAATACTGTTGATATTGGGGAGTTCCTGCAGCATCTAACCTGCTTCTGAGGGAGAAAGTAAACACATTGTAAAGTGAGAGTGTAGTATATAAAAAAGAAAAGGAAACATTTATATTTTTCTGTTCCTTGGAATTATAGCTCTTCTGTTTGAAGAATTTAACATTAGGCTTTCATTTAGTCTCTCATATGCATCACCTGTAATAAAACATGTAATTTCTACCTGCAAACTAAGGCACCTGAGGTTTCAGCTTAAAAGAGGAACCATAAGCAAATGAACCACCATTACCAGTGCCCAGCTGGGATTGTATGAGCAGGGGAGACGTGAGGGCAGAGCAGCATTCTTGTGCTTCTTCATCCTTCCCTGAGGTTTTATTTTCATGCCCCAAAAAATTCATTACACCAGTTGCAGAGCTGTCAGTCACCTCCCTGGTTTGGGTGTGTGTGTAGAGGAACTGGGAAGGGTATGGAACTGTTGGAGCTATAGCCTTCCCCCATCAGGGACATAATTTTATAAATAATAGCTCTCAACACATTATTTATGCAACCTTAATGCGAAGTTCCTTGGGTGCTCGTCACAAAACGGTTCCCATGGGGGCGCGACATAGCAAAGCTGATACAATGGAGTTTGCAGCATAACACAAAATGGTTGCCACATCTAAAAGAGCAGGAAAAAGATGACCACAGAATGAGGCAGGCATGCCCCTCATCAGTCTCTGCTGTGCTCAGTCACGGAGAGAAACTCTGTTTGAAAGGGAAGGGAGGGGTGAGTGTCCAGCCCTGGCATCTAATGAAATGTGTAATGGCAGTGGGGGGGTGTTCAATGTAGGAGAGACTGAGCCAGTGTAAAGAGGAACTGAGCAGAAAGAACAAAGAGTCTCTCAAGCATTGTGGATTTTTTAGAGGATGTTTCTTAAGACCTTTTGCGGGTGCCATTGGAAATACTGGAAGGCATCCTAGGCTCCATGAGTACCACATTGGTGGTCCCTGCCTTGGTACATTAAGTGTAAATGAGAAAGTGATATCATAAAATGGGTAAGAACATCTTGTTCCTTATGTTTCTTAGAATTGAAATACTTCATCTACTCTTTGGAATGATTAGGACTCATCTATATGGGGACAAATCCTGTGTCTCCTGAAACTTTCAGTTATGCCATGCACAGAGGACACCTTTGTTTTGTAGTGCAATGGTGTGTTTCTGAGCCATAAGCAATGCAGTTGGCTATTTAAAAAATGCAGCAACATTCTTATTCTATTGTGTGCAGATTATTCTGAACTTTAAAAAGTTAAGTAGGACTGGATGCTGCTCTCTCGTGTTGTGTAGCCTAAAGTTTTGTTCTTCCTGCAAAAAATAAATAAATCTGGGGGTTGAGATGTTAGGCGTGTTAAGTAGAAAATTATAAGTACCGTTGGTTGATGTGTTTAGTGATTAGCCAACTTTTGCTAGAGTTGTCTATCCTCTGAAGTTCACGACATGGCATTAAAGGTTTTTGGTTTGTTACTCCTTTTAACTTAACTTGAAATAGTCAACATTTCTTTATATGCACAGACCAAAGACATCAGTTGATGAAAGTGTTAGATTCTTAGTTGAAGTTTATGTCTTTATCCTAGCTGCCTCTAGCACACTAACAGCACAGACTTTTGCATGCCTGCTCCAAAATCCCATTGAGTCTAGTGGGACTTAATTTCATGTAAATGTGTAGAGGGTTGTACTTAAGACAGACTTGAGGGTAAGCACTGTTGAACATGATGGGATTCCTTTTCCATAAACTTGCCTAGAACGCATTGGATGGCTACTTTACTGAGTAAACATTCACTGAATGAGGCTGTAAGAACTGTTTATACACTATGTAACAAAATCCTGGATTTGCACCCAATCTGTTTTGCACCCTTTAAACTTGTTTATGTAGAAGTAAGTGTACCGAGAGCCAATTGAGTTTATTATTTATTTAAATATTTGCAGACCTCACTTTTCATTAAAAAATACAGCAAAGCAGTATAATAGTACCTAATTGTAGTGAAGTGTGATAAAGACAGTAAGTTACTGTGAATTGTGTGGGTGGACTTCGCTGCAATAACACAAATCTCGTACAGCATATTGAAACTTATCTTCTTTCAGGGCTACGATCCTAAAGAACCCGAACAGTTGAGAAAACTGTTTATTGGTGGCCTGAGCTTTGAAACTACAGATGATAGTTTAAGAGAACATTTTGAAAAATGGGGCACACTTACAGATTGTGTGGTAAGTGATCATAACAATCAGTTTACTGTTAACAATGTTATGTGTGCTTACTTGGAAGAAAGTCTCACTGTTTCCAGTGGGGCTTACTCCTCGGTAAGTATGCACAGGTTTGCAGCATTCACAAAAGTCAGTGCCTAAATTATTGTTATATGCTTTAACTTTCTTGAAGGTGATGAGAGACCCACAGACGAAACGTTCCCGAGGCTTTGGCTTTGTGACCTATTCTTGTGTGGAAGAAGTAGATGCTGCTATGGCAGCCCGACCACATAAGGTTGATGGGCGTGTGGTGGAACCAAAGAGAGCCGTTTCTAGAGAAGTAAGTGAATATTTAAGTATATATACTGAATTTGTCAAACCTTAATTGTAGGAACTTTTAATCATTTGCAAATCTTTTTGTAAGACAATTGAAGTATTTAGGCATGGCACCATCTTGGAAGGTTGAGATACTAAATGTAACTTGTTACTTTGTAGGATTCTGTGAAACCTGGTGCTCATTTAACAGTGAAAAAAATATTTGTGGGAGGAATTAAAGAAGACACAGAAGACTATAATTTAAGAGATTACTTTGAAAAATACGGCAAAATTGAAACCATAGAAGTAATGGAAGATAGACAAAGTGGAAAGAAAAGAGGGTTTGCCTTTGTAACGTTTGATGATCATGATACAGTCGACAAAATTGTTGGTATGTAATGCTTTCCTTTTGTGCAGCCTTTTTATATTTCTTTCAAGCTACTGATGGATGGAACTTTCTCCTAGTGAACAAAAAAATTACTGTAAGAACTAGACTTCCTATTTGCTTTCTTACTAAATTGAATATATTTTAAAAGATTACCCTTTTAAAGCTCAATATAGTGCTGGGGGGGTGGATGCTTTTCTCTCCTGAACTTTTTTGTGTGATGGCTTTCCTACAATTTTAAACCATGAGCAGCATGATTTGCCCCTAACCTCTCTTCAATCCCCCTCCTCTGCCTGTATCTTTCTAACATGTCTTTGTAGTTACGTGCCTAGCTGAGGAAGACAGTCCAGTTTCCAGCCTGTACTGTTTGTTGTTGTTGTTGTTTTACTCAAATCAATCCAGTTCCCTTGCTGGGACCCTTGTAAGGATCTAGCTGGCTGTCTGCCTGTCCCTATTCCTCCCCCCTCCCACTTGGTTTGGTCACATGCTCTCTCTCCTGCAAGTAAGAATTTCATGCTACACCCCCAGGTTTCAAGCATCCTTCACACTAATTGAGTATACTTAAGAGCCAGGTACAACAGACTTGCTAACTGCTTTAAAATATAGCCTGAACAATGCTAGGATCCTAAAGAACCTTGGGTCCAAAGCAAGCACATTCTTGGAAATCCAGCAGGAAAATGAGCGCACCTGGGTTGAGTGGGAAGAGTCCAACGCAAATGACCATCAGGTACCACACAATGGAGGTCTATGGAGGACATGATCGGCTAAAATCGGAAAGGGGAAGCTTTTTTATTTCATTATGGTCTTTCCTACTGTTTCCCTATCATTCAAGCACTGCTTGGATTCCATGAGTCATTTGTTCTCTGAGGAGCTCTTTTCCCCTTGAATTTTTCCTTCTCCTACTCCCCCCAAATAATTTCTAGGCTCCAGAGATGTTCCTTCCTTATGAAGAGGTGAGATGAGAGGGATGCTGAGCATCCGTTTTATGATATATTCTGCCACAAAGATCTAGGAAACAGACTTCATTGCCCACTGTTTTCCTGACTTCCTTTCTTTGGCTCTTTGTGCTATGTGTCTTTTGTTTTATGGTATTTTTAGAGTTTCCTTTCCTGATTATAAGGAGGAAATAAAACTAAATAATACTGCTGCTCCTGTGAAAATATCTTCTGAATAATATGGCATAAGTGCTTATTCAATTGTGTGCATTTTTATAATAAGGATCATTTCAAAACTTCTTTTAGTTCAGAAATACCACACTATAAATGGACATAACTGTGAAGTGAAGAAAGCTCTCTCCAAGCAAGAAATGCAGACGGCAACTGCACAGAGAAGTGAGTTTGTTACATAATAGCACAGCCTGTGGAGATAATTGCCTACAAGCATTTTAATAATTCACTCTCTTTATTCTTTAGGTCGTGGAAGCAGTTCAGGCAACTTCATGGGCCGTGGGAACTTTGGAGGCAGTGGTGGCAGTTATGGCAGAGGAGGAAGTTTTGGTGGCAGAGGTAAACATCTGTTCTTGCTTCTCCACCCCCTTCCAAAAATACTACCCTGAGTTACAGTGCATCACTGTATCTTACACTTTTTGTTCTGATTTTAGGTGGTTACGGTGGCGGAAGTGGTGGTGGTGGTGGCAGCAGAGGAAGTTACGGGAGTGGTGATGGATACAATGGCTTTGGTGATGGTAAGAATAACATTGCTAATACCAGTTCAATTATACTTGTGGGGGAGGGGCGTCAGTCCCTTAGATCTGCTTGAAGTATCTTAATGTGAGAAAAGTGAAAGGGAAGCTGACAACTTGTGGACAATCTAGGTATTACAAGAAATTGGGTTCTCTTAAGTCATGATTAACGTATCCCATGGGACTAAAAAAAAGCACCCTTATATCAGACTGGGTGATCACCAAACTTGTCCAGGGCAGCTGATGGCAGGCTGTCCATCATTTAGATTCAGGTAGGTAGCCGTGTTGGTCTGACACAATCAAAATAAATAAAAAAAATGTCCAGTAGCACCTTAGAGACCAACTAAGTTTGTTCTGAGTATAAGCTTTCATGTGCATGCACACTTCTTCAGATACATCATTTAATTAGCCAGTGGTAGGTCTTGGAATGCAGCATTCCAATAAAGGCAATAGGACTGAGACAAGCCAGGATCCACTGATCCCAAACTGGTCTCACTGCTGTCATGTGATGCTGTCAGGCCCAATTGCCTTTCCAGCCTGGAATGTCTCCCCACCCCACCTTCCACTTTGGCCACAAAGAGTGGCAGGGCTGCATATGCATTTTCCCTGTCATTCCACAAAGCCCTGCCATCTGGAAGGACAGTTGATGGTGCCCCAGTCTGGATCTAATCCAGTGTCATGAATCCTAAGTTTCTGTGAACAAAATTCTGCTCATGGGAGTGCCCCTACCCCTGGGGGCAGGGAAGGAAGTCCCCTAAAGTGCTCCAGGTAGTTGGGGAATCTCCAGTAAAAGTTGCATAGAGGTGGCACAGAAGGCTACTGGTGAAATTGGCAAACACTTCCCCCTTCCGCTCGCTCTTTCTATTAGTAAGAGCTTCCACTGGATCAGATTCTCTTCTGTAAACGGACAGGCAACTCAGGATCTAAACATTATTTTTAGATTTGTGAAATGTATGTAACCTATTAAGAGACTTTGGAATTGCGTTATTGACTGCAGCCAAAATATAGTTGGGTGTGCACAAAGCCTTCTCAGAGCAGGGTAAATAACCAAAATATGGGTGATCTTCAAGCTGCTTGAATGACCCATGACAGATAGAGCCTCTGGTCCTCTCACTTGGAATATTTCGCAGTTTCCAGTAATCAAGTGATAAATCATGCTCAGTGGCAACCAGTCTTCATCCATGGACATGAAATGGTTTCCATTGATTGTAAACAGCAAATTGTGGCTACAAATCCTTAGACAGTCGTGGCTAGGTCATTGATTTTATTTGGACTTCTCCATTGGGATGACTTGATTGGTAGCTATTACCAAGTCGTAATACGCCTTTCGTAGTAGTTGGCCTCCATGCAGTATTGGTGATTTTTTGGATACTGCTTTACAGTTCCCAGTTACTTTTGTGTTTAGATCATGTCATTTCATAACAAAACATTCACATTCCTGTCCCTTTTATTGATCTTTCTCAAGGTGGGAACTATGGAGGTAGTCCTGGGTACGGCGGCAGAGGAGGTTATGGTGGCAGCCCGACCTATGGAACCCCAGGTGGTGGATATGGCGGAGGAGGTGGAGGCTATGATGGTTACAATGAAGGGGGGAGCTTCGGTGGTAAGAATCCTGAAGTACATTGTGTTGATCCATCTGTTCTGCTCATGTTTGATAACAAGCTTGAGGCCTTTAGCTTGTCACTGTTTTTAAAATGTTGTGCAGTGTAAACTTCAGCCAAAAATGAAAACCACTTCCAAATTCTAAACCCTTGAAATCACAGTGGTATGAAAGATATATGGGAAAGCTTCATGGTTCCCCGCCCCCCAGGCCAGGTTTATAGGATGTCTTCTTTAAACTATAGAGTTGCACTGGTAACAAGACTCCAGAGCAGGGGATCTATAGAAAGAGGGCTTACTTTCACACCTGAGCAACCTTCCAGTGGCTACATGTCAGTGGTGGAGAGAGCCCAAGGCAAAAGTGTGCAAAGGAAAGTACCCCTGTAGTTTTCTGCACATGCCCTTCTCCATCCCCCAGCCAGGGGCAAAGAGCTCATTGACACATTCCAGCCAGGCAGAACCCTCAAGAAAGGTAGAAAGGAGGGCTAGTGAGCAGTGTGACCTGGGCTGAGTCCCAAGGGCTGGATAGAGAGGCCTGAAGGACTGTATTTTGTGCCCAGGTATGAAGTTCCCCACCATTGCTTCATACAAACATTCATTAAGCCTTAAAACCTAAGAAGAGAACAACTACAACTTTCTAGCCAGCTAGTTCCATTGCCCAGAATTTATTTAAGAATCTTTATGTTAATGTAATCTACAAACTTTCCCTCTATTACCTGAAACTCCTTGAGAATCATTTACTGTTGTTGTTTTCTTTCTGCCTCTGCATTTTGTGCTGGCATTGGAGTGTAGAGGAAAGAGTCCAATCCATCTGTTCAGTGCTCAGATCTGGGGAACTTTGGATCTGTGCTAGTGAATGCCTTTCAGTGTGGATTGGAATACTAGTCTCATTTTCTGGGACTGGACTACTGTCCGATAATCATTTTTTTGAAAAAGAATAATAATCTTGTTCATACTTCTCTCAAGAAACTTTGAACTTGGTTAAGTTAACACAGCAGAATTTAAAGTATCTAGAGTTATTAATGCGGTTAATTAAAATAACAGGAACCCTTAATGATTTAGCAAAGGAGTGAGCATTTTTTATTTCTCCAATATAACAAAGGTTGGCAAGAACTGAACAGGAAATAAATTTTTGCATGTGTATTTTGAATGTTCTTGGGAACAATTGCAGTTACTCAGCCTAGCCATGATTATGTCCAGGTAGCTGAAATCCCATTATGTGCATACAGTAAATCTGGAGTTATGAAACACGTGTTGTATACTAAAGTGTATTTTGTGCTGGGTAGGTGAGTTAATGTGAATGAATTGTAGTGCACTTGAAATGTACTTCTCAAATAATTCTTGACCTGATAAACACAAACCTTACATGTTATTATTCTCAGGCAACTATGGTGGAAGTGGAAACTATAATGACTTTGGCAATTATAGTGGACAACAGGCCTCAAGCTATGGACCCATGAAAGGAGGTAGCAGTTTCAGTGGCAGAAGCTCAGGCAGTCCCTATGGTGGTAAGTACAACTTACTAAAGTACATATGTGTCTGTTACGCTCCTAAAGAATATTTATTTCAACAGACCATGTTCCCATTTTTAGGTGGCTATGGATCAGGAGGAGGAGGTGGTGGTGGCTATGGTGGAAGAAGATTCTAAAAATTGTAACAGAATAAGGGTAGGTATGCTACAAATACTTGTTGTATATGAAGACTATACAACGTTTCACTGAGAGTAATCCTTTTCTTATCCTATATTCAACAGGCTACACAGTTCTTAGGAGAGAGCGAGGAGTTGTCAGGAAAGCTGCAGGTTACTTTGAGACAGTCGTCCCAAATGCATTAGAGGAACTGTAAAATCTGCCACAGAAGGAGCGATGAACCATAGTCAGAAAAAGTTACTGCAGCTTAAACAGGAAACCCTTCTTAAGGACTGTCATAGCCACAGTTTGCAAAGAGTGCAGCTATTGATTTAATGCAATGTAGTGTTTAGATGTACATTCCTGACTTTTTTTTTAATTTGTTGTTTGTAGCTTTGTCTTTTCTTCATAAATCAGGTATATTGCCCTGTAAATTTGTGGTAGTGGTGGTAGTGGTACCAGGAATTAAAAATAATTAAGGAACTTTTAATTTTTTCCAATATTTGTGTAGTTCAGTTTTTTCTTACTGAAACTTCTTTAAATAAAGAAATGTAGTTTTAGGGTATATTCTTGCTAGGAAAAAAATCAGTGCATTATAATCTGTATTAATTTAAACTATAGAAATGCTGAATCGTTTAAGAACCTTAGTTTTCTGCATATGTAACCGAACGAAATGAGTTGCACATGCAAAGGGAGAGAAGAGATGTTTGCATTAAAGCTTGTTTAGCTGTATAACTAGGAGTGAGTCATTTAAACTAGTGCTTGTGAATGATAAAAAGCTTTACTTTCAAATGAAAATTCCAGATACTTCTGGCTTGTGCATATCTTAATTTGTAGCCTTTGTTTCTTAGCCTAAGACTTATAAGTAAATAAGCATTGAAAGAGATATTTTAAAGCTTTATTCAGTTTGCCTCCCATTTCATTGGTATATACAGGAACTACATTAAGCATTGGCAGAACAGGTTTATTACTGTTGAGGCTTAACACCCCACCCCCAACCTCAAACAGATTTAAGTGTGTGTGCACACACTCTTTTGAATTAAAACTTTGAAACCAATGACCTGGGTCTGTTACTTAGCTTAATTGTATAACTTCATTTGTATATATTTCTTCCCTCAAAACATGGATTCTTCTGTAATGGTCAATACTTCCTACTTTGTGTATTTCTGCATGCTCTCTTATCTGAAACAAGCTTACAGCACAGGCACAATCCCTTCAAGTTCCTTGCAATTGAGTATAAATATTCTGACCTATGAACAAACCCAACACATTTCACACACTTTCTAATGCCTTGATTGTAGGCCTTGAAGGTGGTGTGAAAACCAAATGGTTCACAATCTAGCAGCAGGAAATATCTGGGCTGAACATGATACGTATTTGTCACTAAAAGGAGTATTGTGGGCTATAAATCCATACTTTGATGCATCAGAATCGTGTGGTCAAAACTTGATAAAATTCATAAGCAGGGGTGTGTGGTCTACTCCTTCACTTATCCAAATTTGTGTACAGCCATGTTCCCAGGCTATCCTTCTCAACCTGATCAGACTTCTCTTTTAACTATTGCCAGAGCAGTGCTTTCTGTCAGTACACATCCAGAAGAGTAGGGCACAGTGAGTAGAAGAAACTCAGACACTTGCCAGTATGATGCTGGATATTTTCTTCTGTTACTACTTCTCTAGGCCAATGAACAGTATCAGGTAAACAATTCCAGTATAGGAATGGATTATCAGACACTATAAAACTTTGCTCTAAAATTGTTGTAGGTTCAACCAAATGTGTATGTTGGGCTTGTACAAGGCATACAGTGGTGGTGGTTGTATAGAATTCTATGGTTAAATCTCAAAAAGTACAAGTGTGCTTAAACAAGGGTCAAGCACTGATACAGCCCCGAAGTGCTATACAGTGGTACCTCGAGTTACAAACACTTCAGGTTACAAACTCTGCTTACCTGGAAGAGTTATCTCGAGTTGAGAACTTTGCCCCAGGATGAGAACGGAAATCGTGTGCCGGCGGCACAGCGGCAGCAAGAGGCCCCATTAGCGAAAGCACGCCTCTAGTTAAGAACACTTTCAGGTTAAGAACGGACCGCGGAACGAATTAAGTTTGTAACTCGAGGTACCACTGTAATATCATAATGGCATATATTAAGGTGGGAATTGGGTAGTTGGCCAACAGGAAACAAGTGTTCTATAATGCAATAGGCAAAACGTGTAGAAGGGCATCATTTTAGTATTGTGAAATGGAATCCTCCCATTACTAAGCTGCATATGCAGATTTCTTCTTGGAAGAGTAGAGTAGATGTAAACCACCCCTTTCAGGCCTACTGTTGATTGTAGGGGCAGAACCTAGAGGATGAGTTTTTCTGTTCTTGCGGGAGAGGGTGGGACCTTGATGGCACACAGTGGGGGGAGGGGGAACCAATTTTATAGTGTGTTAATCTGTTCTGCTATTCCTAATCATGCAATCTGTAAGTTGCCAGTTGTTGGTGCCAGTGACTTAGACCTAGTTCTCTGATGTGGAGAAGTGTAAGCAGAGGACAGCAATTAACCAGCTCTAAAGACTTTAGGATGTACCTCTTAGCCAAAGTGTGGATCAAAGGAGACTCAGACAGGACTTCCTGCAGCCTATTGTGTATGTGGACCAGTCAGCATATTTAAAGAATGACAAGGCAGCGACAGCACCAGCTTCAACTTCCAGAAAAGTGAAAGCATAAAATACTATGCTGATAGTGAGCAGCTTTCCAAAAGCTAGTTAAAACTGCCTATCACTGCTGAAATATCGAAGAAAGTCTAGCAAGAGTTCTTCACCAGTTGGAACCTCCTTGAGTCATAGCTACTTGAGTTCACCCAGTCATAGGTCTAGCATTTAGACCTGAAAGGAAGGGGAATGAGAATAGGTAAGGTTTGTCTCTAACACTTTTAACGAATTAAAAGAGCTACTCTTTCCTGAACAAGGTAAGAAAAATCTCTTTGACTTGCAGATTGTTGAAGAAACTTCTGCTTGACCAGATGTGGATTTCTTGCCTGCTGGAAAACCTGTGGCTTGGTAAGACTCTAGTACAATATAAAACATTGATGTGCCCATGACTGTATTCTTGGCTTTGAAAATCCAGCTTCTGTGATAAGAAGGAATTATGCAAAAACAAGGTGAGTGCCAGTACTTAATCATTGTACTTCCATACTATGAAATGTGAGCAGTGCAGCATTACAATTTAAATTCTCATCTGACTGATGTATAGGGAAGCTATACCTGGTGACTTTTAGCACTGATACACCTTTAGAAAATGTTTCATGTTATTTTAGTAACAAAAGAATCCTAAAAGGTAGGTCAGTGTTATCCAGATTGCTTAAAAGAGGCTGAAGTGTAGTAGCTTGTCTGATGAACTGCTTGCTGAAGCAAGATTTTATCTTTTGGTAGTAATTTCCCACAACTTAAATGATAAGTAGATTTTTAAAATAAAAACTGTATTTCATGTTCATTAGTACACAGGTAACTCCCCGTTTCCGCAGGGGTTGCATTCTGGGTCAAAGCACACATCGGTGGAGTGTGTATAAGCCTGCCCCCAGCCCTCCTTTTTCCAGGTCCAAAAGGACTTGTGCGTCAGTTGGATGTGCCTAAAATGATCACTGCCTATAATTGGATTTGGGCAAATCCAATGCATAAAGTCAACCTGAATTCTGTCCACCTTTTCACACCTGTTGGAACTGCAGATTTTCTGTTGGTAATATTATTAATTACTGAATTTCAGACAAGAAAATAATTTCCTCTGGAAGTTGAGTACCTGGTGTCCCTACCAAATAATTGGTTTTCAGGTAACCTAAATCTTTAAGAATGGCTTCTTAGTACTGTATCTTGGTTGGGTTTTTCCTGCATAATGTCCCATTAGTCTTGAATTTGACATATCTCGATAAATACATAGAATTCTGTCTTGCCTTATTCTCCATCTGTGCTAGGTCTGCATGCTAATGGATGTAGGATCATGGTTCCGTATCTTCTTGCCCTGTTGGGGACCCAGGATTTTGTCAGCATCACATTCTCACTCCTATTCAACCATGAACTTTGGCAGGGAACATTTAGAATTGTTGACTTCTCCCGTCTTCAGACACACGTGTCAAATGTAGTGCAAATGTTTAATGGGAGAGCACACAGTGCTACAAGGCCATGTCTCTTAATTTGCCTCTCCTGCTGCACTAGACATTGCAGTTTGCTGCTGCCGTTGCCCAGCACTGGAGTGGCAAACAGCAGCTCTACCCATTTTCTCTTTTCTAAAATAGGGACTCAGCCAAGCTGCTTGTGTGCTCATTTTGCACCTTTCCGCCCAACACACAACAGAACGTAGATTTGGGGTGAGTGTATGTACTTCTGTTTCCTTCCTCCTCTAGTAGGAGGGTGCCAGCTCTGTGCCTAGGAAAGGAAGTACTGAATCCTAGGTGAACTTGCTTACGTACTGTCCCAAAGCAGTCTCAGCTGCATGTTTGGTGAGGTGTTTAGAAGATTTGGGGAGAGAGGAAATGCTAGCAGAGCAGTGTTCTTCAATAACTAGTTGGCGAAGCTGGGATACTCCTTTGCCTTAACATTCTTAATGTGCTAAACTTGCATTTTCTCTTCTACTCTGCAGGGTAGAACAAAGACAACCATCTCCACAAGTTGAAAGATGATGTGAAATACGCCGATAGCCTATGATAGGTGAAAGTGATTGAAGTGTGTCATCTCCCACTCACCTTGTTCAAACACTTACAATAAAGTGTCATAAATTATGAGAGTTGGCCAATCTTTCCAATTGTATGTGGCTATTAGACCTTCATTTCTACATCACTGCCCGTCCATTTATTAAATATTTCCTTCCAGCTTCCACAATGTTAAAATCGAAGAGTTTTGAATTACTCAGGTGAATATTGGTAACCTTCCTTTAGTTGTATGGACTACACATCCCTGGATACATTACAGCAGATTTGGCTAGCCTGATTTAACTCTAAATAAATCTCAGCCTTTGAAAGGGGGGAGGGGAAATCCCTGACAAAATTTTATGAAATCTTTTTTCACATAATAAAAAGTTAATTCAGGGCTCAGCAAGGCAGTGTCCTGATGGGGGTTGCTGTAGAGAGATCTACATGTATTTTGTGTAGTTGGAAATGTTCTGGAATACAATATTGCATGTTTATAATAATATGAATGACATGCATTTGTGTCACTCATGCTTTCCCCTGCAAAAATGTGTGTAGCAACCGAGAAAGACTTTGTGTAGGGTGAGTAGGCAATACTATGAACAGTCATCATAACTAATGTTACATACATACTGTTTTCTAATTAGTAACAGGTTCCTGAATACAAAATGGCCCTAAAGCTAAAGAAATTACAGCACTACTTTTAAAGGTTTAAAAGGGTGCTTGAAATCCATGAAACTGAAATACACTTTGCATTTAAATAATAATAATCATGAGTAGCTATAGCTGTAATTTGAAGTTTGGATGCCTATACAGTCATCCTACATGTACTTACTTTGGCTTCTTCAAAACTACTTCAAAACAGTGTTTTTTATTCTAATACAGTATCAAACCAGAGGTAATAGCTGGATATTAGGTAAGGAATGTTATTTCCGGTGAGATTAACTAACTACTGCCATTTCCAATGATAGTTTGAGCTGCTGCACTGTTTGTTCTTCTTAATAAAATCTGTATCCTGTACTCCCAATTTCATAATGGGTGACCAACTTTCAGTGTAGGGATATTGCCCAACATGGCCAAACCCATGACTTTTGAGATTTAAGAGTCTTGTGCCATACCAACAGAACTGTTTGACATTTTCTTCTTACCAGTTAGACTCATTGTAGCAGTGGTCTCTTCCAACTCTATGATCGTGTAAGTAGGCTTCCCTTTCCTAAAAACTGCTCCAAAGGGTTGACAGACCCTCTGGAACAGATTTTGGGGGCATGCAGTAGTCAATAAGGGCAAGAAGGAAACATTCCACTAAGTAAAAAGCTGTTGCGCGGTGAGACAAGTTGGATGTCTCGCCCACTAGATTTTGAGCAGGGATGTCCAGGTTGATCGTGATCTACTGGTAGATTCACCGTGAGGTTTTGGTAGATCTCCCTAAAAAAAGCTCAGCAACTGAACCCCTCCATCCAGTCCAGGGGGTAGATCATTGCCAGATTTTAATTCTGAAAGTAGATCAGGAGTTGGCCACCCCTGCTCTACAGGTATATTAGCCCAAGTTGAAACCCTTGTGGTAAGGCCACATTCTAATGAAACAATCTAGGCCAAGAGTATATGCTGTTTATTTTTTAATGTACAAAATCTAAAAATTAGCATTACTTGGAGCATACATTTGTATGCAAAGCAAAATTTCAGCTTTAAGGACACAATTCAGCCCCAAATTAAGCATATTGATACTCCATTCCTTTCAATGAAAGAACAGTTTTAATTCTTATAATGAGTGTTCAGTTATTTTGGCTGGGCTGAGCCCTAACAATACTCCTTTAGTATGTGTGTTTACTAACACTACATTCAATCTCATATTAAAGCAAAGCAAGTAAAAATTTTCAAGGAACTGCAAACATTTCATTGATATTTTATCAAACAATATTCATGAAAACAAGATTGGTCTTGTAAGTAATTAGGATTAAAAGTCTTAAATCACCCTTGATATACAGTTAGGTAAAACAAATTATAGGAACAGTATATAAATAAGAAATTTTGAAATATTTACACTAGAACAGGAACTAGTTGAGTTGCTACTATATAAAAAAGGAACTAGTGTCTTATAAAAGTACTACCCATTGTGCATACATTTGCCTTACACCGATTTTAAGTGTATTCATATAGTTTACTCTAAAGAGACATTTGTGTAAAGTCACTTGGGGAGGAAAGGAAATATTTTGCATCCTAGGAAGTCCTAGGAGTAGAAAATACAAATTGAAAAAATAGTTGTTGAGAGAACATTAGTCTCCCTGATCTTCATATTTTAGTCTCTGGCTTCTTGCTCTTAGGAATAAGAAAGATGGTGCCATCTCTTGTTTGCTGCAGTGAGTAATCATTAAGTGAATAAGGCTTGCCATCTTCATCCCGAAGCATGCGGAAGACTTCGACGTACAGGGTGCTCAGCTGCTTTTTCAGCAGTTGCAAACTCTTGTCGTTTTCTGCTTTCTCTTTGAGGAGCTTCTCTTTCTCATCCTTGAGATAACCTAAGTCATGCTCCAGCTCGGTTATGTTTTCCAGTTTCCTTTTGCGGCAGTTCTGAGCAGCCACTTTGTTCTTGCCTCGCCTTCGTATGTCACGAATCAGAGTCAGCTGTGCCTCATTGAACTGCTCCTTGGACATCATTTCGTTGAAGTCATCCACAGGGAGATTGATTATTTTTTCAACGGGGAAAGGGATACACAGAGCCTTTGCCCTAAGCTCATCTCTGCTGAAATGAGCATCAAGTTGGCTGGAGGACTTGTCCTTCACAAACGGAGCTTCAGCATGACCAGGGTTTTCAGGCAATTCTTTTTTGGGTACGCTTGTGAACTGCAATTCAGGATTTGAGACACCCTGTCCTGGGGATGGAGACAGCGGAGCATAGAACTGAAATGAATGCATTTTAGCATTGCTCTGTGGCACGCTTCCAGGAGCACTATCCATCTCTTCCATTTCAGAATCACTGTATCCAAATCCTGTATCTCTAGAGATGGAAGATGACCCAACAGAATGAGTGGGAGATGTTGTGCTGGGACTCGCATTCAGCGAAATGCCAGAATCGGAATCATTGCATTCTGGGGCATTTCCTGAAAGGTCACGGTTAAAAGCTTTGCACTGAGCAAACTCTGAAAGATCGATAGGTTCGTTTAAAAAGCCAGCAATTGCCTGGTCCACAAAATTTGGCGGTGGGGGAGACGTGTTCATATTCACACCAACAAAGGAAGAGTAGAAATCCTCAGAAAAATCAGTGCTTGTGCATGATGTGTTGTTTTGGCTAAGATCTTCCGGCAGTAGCAGGCTAGAAAAGGAAGCTTCCAGAGGGCTCAGGTACTCTGGACTGCAGTTAGCAACTTCTTTCTCCATAGCAGGTAATGAATCGTAAAAGCTAAAGTTCATATCGGCCTCTGCTGATGCGTTTTCCAAGCATGCATTTGGGGTTACTTCAACCAGGTTATCATTCTGAATGTTAAGGCACTATAAGGAAATAGGAGAGAGAAGTTCAGCAATGATATATACACATGGTGAAGTTTTACCGTGTGAAGCCAGTCGATGCATTTCTTGTGCTTTGGAAGTGATACATTTGGCTGTCGTCCCTTTTTTCTATTGCTTCTGTATACCAAACGGGGCCAGAAGAGCTGGCAATACAAAACAGGAATTAGGGGAGAAATGGAGGCAACTGCAAACACTCCCTTTTAGCCTGTGTAAACTTCTACGATGTGAATAATTGGGATAAGGGGAAAGGGAGGGGCACCTGAGACTTTGGAAACTATAGCATGCAGCATTTTGCTTTTTCAGTCACCTGTTGCCTTTCACTATACAGAAGTTGCGTTCTACAAAGAAAGGGGGAGGATGTGCCTAGTCCCTTGGCTGGTTTGGACGCACTTATATCTGATGAGTCCGACAAATAAATTGTTGCAGGCAATCTTCCCTCAAGTAAACACTTCTGTATTAGGAATTTGCATCTTCCTGGCATTCACACTAAGTTTTTTGCCTTCGGTAAAATGCTGCAATCCCCCCCCCCCCCAAGCTACCGTGCATGGGATACCTATGAAATATAACTGTTCATGTGTCTTGGACAGTTAAAAGACCTGCTGGGCAGCAATAATCCCCCAGCCTCTGTGCTATTTACATTCCTGCCCCCACCTTTAAAAAAGTTGCTTTAATTTCCTTGGTAGTTGTGGAAGTCACTGTTGCTTTGGAGTACACACACAGTTTTTTAAAAGCTGCATGCTTTCTCTTCCATGTCTACTGTCTTAACATTCCATGGGCTGGATAAAGCTGAGAAAGGGCTTCAGAGAAGTCTTCAGCTGTTTATCCAAAGAGGTAAATGGAAACAGAAGCGTAGCTATACCTTGGTAGAAATGCTAATTACTCCATTCATTGTGCAAATTGCATGTTCCGTAGAGAAAAGTGCTACATATTGAACTGGGGTTTCTGTTCAGCTTCTTGGAAGTGAAAAACAAATGCTATTTCCCTCCTTGCTGTACAGACCCTAGGAAAACCAGTAAAGCAAGCCTTACTAGGTGAGAGTAAGCCCCAAGCTCAGTGGAACTAAATTTACATGAACTCACTAGGCCCGGCACCTCCAGTCAACAACACAGCTGTCAACTTTTCCCTTTTCTTGCGAGGAATCCTATTTGGAATAAGGGAATTTCCCTTTAAAAAAGGGAAACGTTGACAGCTATCTTAAGCCAGGTGCTTTGAAGACCCAGCCATGCCACTATTCACAGTTCTCCCTGCCAAGCTCCCAGGTGCTTTTCAGCAATGGGCAGCAGTGCTGCTTTTATCAATCACCAGTTTTCCATCAGGCAGCGGCTGCCCACCATCTTGGTTACACAATATGTAGGACACCAGCCCGTTGAGCTATAAAATTTAGATCTGTTGGCCAGGGCATTGCATTTTGGGTAACACAAGATGGTGGCCTGCTAGAATGGATCAGAGTCAAGCCTAGGCACAATTCAAAAAAAGTAGCGCAGCCCCACGGAAGCATGTTTCGGAGGCCTGCCAGAAGTACTACTTGGTCCTGGTTAGTTGGGTTGGGGGCACCAGCATACCGAGAAAAGACCCCACCCCAAGCCCGGTGCCAGCCCTGAGACTCAAGATTTGTATTGTAAGGCTAGAAACTCAACACAAATGTCTCGAGCAGAGCAGGCGTTGCTTTTGAATAAAAAGCATGCAAAGGTTTGGACTGAAAGGGAAACTGCCAATACGGGCAAACATTTTGCTTTTCATGTTCTAAAAAATACTGATTGATGAGTAAACGTAATTGAACCTTTCAAGCTGCTACCTTCAACCTCATAAACCTAAGATTTTGTAAATACAGTGGTACCTCAGGTTAAGTACTTAATTCGTTCAGGAGGTCCATTCTTAACCTGAAGCACCACTTTAGCTAATGGGGCCTCCCGCTGCCACTGCGCCACTACCGTGCGATTTCTGTTCCCATCCTGAAGCAAAGTTCTTAACCTGAAGCACTATTTCTGGGTTAGCAGAGTGTGTAACCTGAAGCGTCTGTAACCTGAGGTACCACTGTATATAGTAGTTGCAAGACGACAGGAGGACCCACCGTCCAAGGGCAAAAATGTCAAAAGTGTGGCCTTTTTTAGTATACAGTGGTACCTCGGGTTACATACACTTCAGGTTACAGACTCTGCTAACCCAGAAATAGTGCTTCAGGTTAAGAACTTTGCTTCAGGATGAGAACAGAAATCGTGCTTCAGTGGCGTGGCGGCAGCGGGAGGCCCCATTAGCTAAAGTGGTGTTTCAGGTTAAGAACGGACCTCCAGAACGAATTAAGTACTTAACCCGAGGTACCACTGTAAATATTTGCCCCCAGTATCTGGCTACTTATTGAAGTGTTATTTAATAGTAATAATAAATTTGATTATTTAGTATTTCGTTCAAGTGCTGACTGCTGCTGTTACCTGCAGCTCTGGAATAGACAGCAGTTCTTCCCAAACTTGTTCTATGTCTTGTGTGGTCTCAGCATCTACCGCTGTTGACTCTGGAATGGTAGACTGAAGGAGAGCCGGATCAAGTGGGATCATCCGATCAGATTCAACAAAGACCTGGTTGCTGTCCATCTCAGAAGGTGCCGCTGGCAGAAATTCAGCAGAGGGAACCTGGAATACCAGGCAACAGATTTATTTATTTTTTGGTCAGTTATGCTTGAAACCCGCTGGTTCTTGGGTTGGCTGTTGGCAATGAAAGAGGTATTTCGTAGTAGGGACATAAAGTAAAGGTAAAGGGACCCCTGACCATTAGGTCCAGTCATGACCGACTCTGGGGTTGCTGCGCTCATCTCGCTTTATTGGCCGAGGGAGCCAGCATGCAGCTTCCGGGTCATGTAGCCAGCATGAATAAGCCGCTTCTGGCAAACGGGAGCAGCACACGGAAACACCGTTTACCTTCCCGCTGGAGCGGTACCTATTTATCTACTTGCTTTCAAACTGCTTTCGAACTGCTAGGTTGGCAGGAGAGTAGGGACATAGTCAGCTGCTTTATAGCAAGTCCATCTAGCACAGTATTGTCTACACAGGCTTGCAGCAGCTTTCCAGGGTTTCAGACCACAATTTGCCTAGGCCAACCTGGACGTGTACCTCCAAAGCAGTATGTTGGTATGACAATCTGTACATTCAAATGTGTTTGTTGCATAATGCATGCCATTAGTCAGGACACTGCAATCACAGAATTTTAGAGGTGGAAGCTCCCTCAAGGATCACCTAGTCCCAAATCCCCTGCAATGCAGGAACCATTTCCCCCAGGGTGGGGGCTGAAGCTACAACCCTGAGATTAAGAGTCTCGTGCTCCACCATCTGAGCTATCCCAGCACCCGATAAAGAGACAGAAAAGGGATTTTAATTCTTGTAAAGGAGAGGCCAGATTAAAAACATCAGACTTGGGAGATTTACCTGGTCATCGGCAAACAAGAAAGTTTCTGCCAAAAGCTGCATGCAGTCATCAAAGAACAGCTCATCTGCATCTTGTTTGGAGACGTGAACGCTCTGTAGATTGAAGATAAAAAATAGCAAATATGTAATACTTCTACTATGTTCAGACAACCTGTTTCTTTATAGCTTTAGAGAGAGAGAGCGATATCTCCATGGAATTTTATTTTGAAATAAAAAAGCACAAAAAAGCACACCACAATGCAACAAGATAATTAAAGAAACAAACTCGCTGGTTGCAATCATTAATATCTCCTGGGTGTGCTTGCGGGAGGATTAGAATAAAGGACAATGTAATCTAAGAAGACTATTGAAAGACTGGCTATACAAGTTCTATGCTGGACAGATAGCAATCAGAAAATATATAGGCATCTGTACTTTCTGGAATTTCATCAGAAGTTTCAAGAGAACCCATGGAGCAATAAATGGAAACCGTAGCACTATGATAAAAACAAAATGGGATTCCTTACTTCCTGAATAAGTTTGTATATAACCATAGTCTCACAAATTATATCAATCCCCTGCTGTTCAAATAGTTGCTCTGGAGACATGCAGTAACATTCTTTAGGAAAGGGGGGGGGCAAAATGTAGATCACATGACAGGAAGTTGGGGAGGTTTTTTTACCTGTGAATAATTATTGGATGTGATGGTATTTCCTGATTCAATGGCTTGAGCAGGCTGAATAGGAACAAATTCTCCTGTTTCCTCATCCAGCTGCAGCTGATCTAGGAAGGCTTTTTCTTGCTCTTTCTGAAGCTGCTCTTGTCTCTCCCTCTCAAGCTTCTTCTGTTTTTCATACTCATATTCCTTCTGTCTTTGGCTAAAATCAAAAACTTCACGCCTTGCTCCAAGATCTATATCTTGCCTCCAGAGAATATCGATCAGGTTCATATCCTGTGTGTGTAAAAAACAACAACAGTATAGATGATAATACTGGATCTTCAAACTTTGTTTTTTTACAGAGTTTTCAAAACAGGTGCCGTCTCATTAAAGTTGATTTAAATCAGGGTTTTCCAATCTTGGGTCTCCAGCTGTTTTTGGAGTACAAATCCCATCATCCCTAGGTAGCAGGACCAGTGGTCAGGGATGATGGGAATTGTAGTCCAAAAACAGCTGGAGAAACCCACGTTTGGGAAACTCTGCTTTAAATGGAATCAAAGGACTGTAAACTGGTGGTCTGAGACCTCTAACTGCACTCTGGGTATTCTCCATTGCATGCTGATACAAAATTCGTGATATATTTTTACTTCCTCCCTGCCCCCGCCCCCCCAAAAAGGTTAAGATGTGACTTAGTGGCATCATAATAGAGTTTCAGTCCTGAGCACCAGCTTCAGATTAATGTGGCAGTCCCCACACTGGTAGGATTTATTTGTGAGTAAACATGCACAGTAGCAACTTCTTGGCTGTAAGCACTAGTGATTGTCCCATTAAACCTAATGGGACTTCCTTGTAAGTGAAACCCACGTTGCCTGCGTTGTAAATAAGCATTACAAATTCGAAGTAATGGACCAGGGACATGCATTAATTAGCACTGACATACAGTTTCCAAAACGCAATTACAGGATTCCGTTACAGACGAAGAATATTACAGAATGCTTTAAATAAAACGTAAACATCTTAATGTGTCACGTTTCTTCTCCCCCCCCCCCAAAAAAACCCCTCTTTCTTTTAGAGGTGCTGTTTATTCAAAATTGCAATGGGAAAGTTGTCTTTGAAACCTGGTATTTTTTGAGCGCTTCCAGAGGGACCCGTTTATTGAGTTTTTATCAGGGGATTTGTTTGCAGGGGGTTAGACAAACATCTCAAAACTACCAACATGAGTTTGACCAAACTGCGGGAGGCAGTGGAAGACAGGAGTGCCTGGCATGCTCTGGTCCATGGGGTCACGAAGAGTCGGACACGACTAAACGACCAAACAACAACAGACAGCATCGGCTATTTAAATGAGCATTCATCCTGATTTGTTGGGAACCTAGTCCTAGATGGTAAAGGTAAAAAGGTAAAGGACCCCTGGACGGTTAAGTCCAGTCAAAGGCGACTATGGGGTTGCGGCGCTCATGTCCTTGCATCAAAGCACATTCCAGTGCGTGGTCCTGCAAAAGTCTGGTCTTTGGGGAACGCATGTTCATTGCACACGACCTCTTAATCAACTATAGTGGCACAAGCTGAATTGGTCAGTAAGCGACTGAAACCCACCCAGAAATAGCAACAATCTGGAAGCACCCTTGGCCTTAACAGGTTTTTTAAAAAGCACGGAAACAGGAAGATCCTTTATATCATACCATTTGGTCCATCTAGCTCAGTATTGGTCATGCTGACAAGTGGCTCTCTAGAGCAGGAATCAGCAAACTTTTTCAGCAGGGGACTGGTCCAGTGTCCCTCAGACCTTGTGGGGGGCCAGACTATATTTGGGGGGGGGGTGAACTAATTCCTATGCCCCACAAATAACCCAGAGATGCATTTTAAATAAAAGGACACATTCTACTCATGTAAAAACACGCTGATTCCTGGACCGTCTGCGGGCTGGATTTAGAAGACGATTGGGCCGGATCCAGCCCCCGGGCCTTAGGTTGCCTACCCCTGCTCTAGAGTTTCACTGACAAGTCATTATCCCCATACTGCAAGTTGCAAGGGGCTATGGCCGGGAAGCAGAAGCCTTGCAGTTTTCATACTGCAGATCAGGTTCTGAGTGGGATACAACAACTCTGCAATGTTGTCTGGGTGAATTAGACCCCCTGTTGCAGGTTGAAAGCTGGGCTGAAGTTGAGATTAACTAACAACGAAAGTGCATTGTTATTCACGGCTTTTACCTCCGTACTGCATGGTGGGCAAAGACAGTAGTGCACAACAGCCCTGCAGTGTAGTGTTCTACTCTTATTGCTTAATCCCCAGTCCAGTGAAGCTTGCTCCCTATTCTGTAACACTGGTGGACCCTAACAAAAGTCTTTGTTAAACTGTGAATTTTCCCCGATTTGTGAATGGTCCGACACAACTTACTTTTCTTGTATGACTTGGAGAACATTTTAACAGGGTGTAAGGGTGAGCTTAGGGCAAATTACCTTGTCATAAAAGTAAGCCATAAAATGCTCTTAACGTGCTTAAGACCAGCAGGATCAAAGCAGTAACTGCAGCAATATATTGCTCCCCGTACTAGCAGTTAAAGCTTCAAACACAAAGTCCATGTTGTAGGCACAAGGCAACAATGGTGTGGGGGCGGAGAGAGAGATAAGCAGTTTTAACTTATTCCCTCTGCAGTTTGCTCTGTGCACCCCCTGCCTAAAAAAAACAGCTGTTCCAGAAAGTCAGGGGACCCTCTTGCTGAACACAGGAGGTAGCACTGGCGGCTGCAGGGGGAATTGGCAAATATCACCTCTACTGCATCTTAGTCCATTTCACAAACAAAAGCCTTTCCATCTGCAGAAGGGCAAGTCTGGACCTGACCCACTGAATCTTAAGTTTTCAGATAATGTATTCGCTAAATAACATCTGGACTGGGATTCACATGAAGAAGAAATTGGGTGGAGAAAAGTTTCTCACAAGTAAGAATAAGAGTTCAGGGTTGCCCAAGGAAAAGCAGGAGCCCCGCAAGGTTCGAGACACAAAAGGAAAGACTTGTGGACAACACAGCATGAACTTCTGCAATTCACCATTACACAATATGAATGCTAGCTTACGATGGCTACAGCCACAAGAGCTAGATGGGACGTTCACATTCAGCATTCCTTTGGATACCTGGCGCTGGGGACAAACAGGGAAGGGTTATTGCTTTCCTGTCCTGCATTTGGACGGACACTACAGGAAACAGAATTCTGGACCAGATGGGCCATTGATCTGCTCCAACAAAGTGATTGTAATATTCCTGCGTGTCCATGGCTATATTCACCAAATTCCAGGCTTTCCCTCTAACGTCTATCTTTCTAATTAATGTATATTTTAAACCTCTTCCACGGAGATGCCAAATTTCACTAGGAAAGGGGTAAAAACAAAGAGAAGAGGAAAGAGTTATTACGGCTGTCCACAGTAAGGGTTTGGTCCCTCCAGACTGCCATGGTAGAACGAACTAATTAAGTCTGGCAATAATGGAGGATGCTGCAATATGGCAGGGCTTCATTAAAGGCCAGTAGTTTACCAGCTGCTCACCCTCTTCTCTCATGGCAGATTTGAAAATGGCTCCTTCATCTCTGAGCATTTGCAATATGTTCTGGATAAAAACGGCAGGATCTGGATTTGAGATTCCGTTTCTAAGTTGCTCGTCGTTTTCAGAGTGCCATTGTCTGGGCTGCTGCCTCTGCCAAAGCGAGATGCGCAGATCAAGTGCCTATCGGCGGTCCTCAGCATGTCAGATTAACTACATGTCTTTCCCAAGTTTGCTTTGAGCTGCGACCAGAGCCGTCTTTCCCAAAGGACTTAGTGGTGTGTCGCGCCAGGGCACCAGCCTCTCAGGGGCACCCCAGCAAGTGGGGGAGCTGCGCGGCTTTGTCGGCGGCCTCCCCTTTCCCTGCACACCCGCCAGCTGCACCCCGCCAACAATAAGGCTGGTGCGCAGCTATGGCCACCCCAACACTATCCGTGGTAATTTGGGGGCGCTGGGTAGATATTTGCACCCCAGCGCCACATCTGCTAAAGACAGCCCTGACTGCGACAGTAGAAATGAATAGAAAACAATCGTACTGAAAACAGCATTCACAAAGCAGCGTGGCTTTAAAGCCGTAGCCACGACGACAGCTGCTTTTGAAATAGAGGGGACTTGTTGGCATGAAAGTTATTGCACAGCCTGTTTAGAGTAGTTGGGAGGGCGGGGAATAAGCCAAATCTATGCAAAATGAGATGAGAGCAACTCCCTTTTAAATGCTTTATATCTTACATTACATTACATGGCAGGGAGTTGGACTAGGTGACTCTCGGCGTCCCTTCCAACTGGACGATTCTACGATTCTGATTTTACGATGCAATGACTTTTTCATTAACTGGAATATGCTTAATATGATAATTTGCAGGTGCTCTGTTTCATTAATTTTAAATAAAGCTTCCACACACACCCCATCAAAAAAGTATTTAAGGCTACGTTCCAATTAGATTGATTTCTACAAATTTATGTTCATAAATATTTCTTAAGGTTCCTGTAAATGCTTGCATCGGCTGCCAGGTTCAGATGAATGTCAAAATGTGGCTGAATGTGTTGATAATTCTACACAAGATTAATAAAGAGTACATAACACATAACACATGTCTCGCTAACCACATCCTTCAGAAAAATTTACTGCTGATAAAAAACAACGCAATGGTCTATCATGTGACTTGCTCCATAAGAAGACTTTTGTTCTCTTTTTTCGTTGTGCAAGTTCCCACATTATGTCAGAGGAAATAGCTGTTTGGGCAGATCCAAGAAAGGGGAATGCCCAAGGAAAAGGACTAGGCTTTCAACACCTGTGAAAGCAAGTGTTTTGGATAAGAAGGGTTTTCAACTAAAACCTGTTTCCCCCCCCGTAACTCGGGAACACCCCTTATGTAGTTCACTACTGTCCATACAACACTGGTAATCAAAATGTATGTTGTTTTTAATCGTGATGGGAACCAACTAACACTTGCAGTGAACAATAATTTGGTTATTAAGTAGTTTAACGATAGTCTCAGCGGGGCTTGATTAATAAGTATTACTATTTTACATTTTTATCCTGCCCTTGTTCCAAGGAGCTCAGAGCGGTGACCGCGGGTGGTATTCACCTAAACAATGGTGCAAGCAAAACAATTTCTGCTTGCACAACGAGTCTTTCCTCCCATCCTACTCTGCCACCCGAAATCTGCACCAAAAGCTGAGGGGAAGCACAACTATTTGACGTTTAGAAGACATCTGAAGGCAGCCCTGTTTAGGGAAGTTTTTAATGACTGATGTTTAAATGTATTTCTAATCTTTTGTTGGAAGCTGCCCAGGGTGGCTGGTGAGCCCCAGCCAGATGGGTGGGGTATAAAATTATTATTAGGGGGAAGGGGGGAGTCCCATTGTGCATGCAGAAATCAGTTTGCTAACTCAGCTATTCAGTTGAATACCACCCCGTGGTCCCTTTCTTCTTTTGCACTTACAACAACCATATTGAGGTAGGTTTAGAGATAAAGACTGGCCTAAGGTTTCCCAGTGAACTTGATGACTGACTGGGGATTTGAGTGTCCACAACTGCCATCCAACAGTCTAACTCAGTGTTTCCCAAACTTGGGTTCCCACCAGTTTTTGGACTACAACTCCCATCATCCCTAGCTTGCAAGACCAGTGGTCGGGGATGATGGGAACTGTAGTCCAAAAAACAACAACTGGAGACCAAAGTCTGGGAAACGTTGGTCTAACTCAGGCATCCCCAAACTCGGTCCTCCAGATGTTTTGGGACTACAACTCCCACCATCCCTAGCTAGCAGGACCAGTGGTCAGGGGTGATGGGAATTCTAGCCCCAAAACATCTGGAGGGCTGAGTTTGGGGGTGCCTGGTCTAACTATTATACCACCCCAAGTCTCCATAATGGCCTGTGCAGGATTGGGAAATGGTGGGCTCAGGTCTTTATTTCTCAGAGCACAGATATTAATGTGCTTAAAACAACTACAGTGGAACCTCGGTTCTTGAACATAATCCGTTCTGGAAGACCATTCGTGTTCTGAAATGTTTGAGAACCGAAAACTCACTTTGGAAGCCTCAGTTCAATTGAGAACATTCAATTGAGAAAAACACGCAGCGGAAGGGGCTCGACTTCTGAGGCATGTTCGAAAATGGAAGCATTTACTTCCGGGTTTTCGGCATTCGGCTTCCAAGATGCTTGAAAACCAAGGTACCACTGTATAAGGTCCGTTCAAGTACAAGTAGGAAACGCAGGCATTTATGCTAGTATCAGGGGTTAGTTTGTCTGAGCGCTCAGGCTTGGGAGCTGTTCTTGGCACCAGCCTGAGCCCAGGAATCTTTGAAACAGCAAGAAATAAAATTGCCCCATGGCATGCACAGAGTGCCTTTGCCTCACCACTGAGTAATCGCTACCTCTCCCCCCACACTCACGCTTACAAGACCAGAGCTACCTAGGCAAATGATATGGCTTCCCAGCAGGCTTAGGGATGAAGCCCTCTCTTTTTCGAAATCAAATGCTGACTGGCATTTGGTGTTTTTACTCATTTACTGATACGCTTTTCCAGAGCCTGTTCCGAGCCACATTGCTAAGCCTAGTCTGGACTTATAAAAGGCAGTTTTAATAAGATAAACATAAATGTTAAACAATTCACATTAAGCAGCCATCTGGACCCCAACGGAAAATTTCATGTTTTAGGTTTACATATCAGCATTTGCCATCTGGGTAGTCAGTTATAGATTTTATGTGAAACTCTCCGTCTGCGTTGTAAAGTTTGGCTATTAACTCTTATTGCGCTTTAGCAAACATATTTGCATCAGGATAAACAAAAGGAGCAAGGCAAGGGCCCCATATTTAGAATTTTATATTAGGTGTATATAACAAAAGCGTTCTGTGGTCCAAATATGTTTTAAATCCCTGCCAGGAGGCCTTAAAAATAAATTAATTATAAAAGATCTTTACAGGAAAGCGTGCAATGAAATTTGGGGGGCAAAAGGAAAACAGGGTTTTTCAAACTTGAGTGCCACCAACTCTCTGGCTTGAACGAGTTTATCTTAATAGTGATGATGATACGCGCTCTACTGCATTGTGACCCTAATGAAAACCAACTGACCAAAGTGGGGCAGAAGCAGCTCCTTCAAATTTAAAACAAAAATGAAGTAAGCATATATATTTATCTCATGCCTATGAAGGAAGTCATGTAAGATCTTGAGGTGAGTGGAAGAATCCCTCAGAATCATATGTCTTAAAACAGCCTCAAAAGCCGATCACATCGTTTACCTCAGAAAGAAGGTAACTGAGCCAAGTCAGAAGGGTTCCTCACTTTTTAAAAATAAATAAACAGGTCTTGTTTTAGTGGCACTGGATGAGCTGTATGGTTCTGGCAATAAGTGTTGCTGTCACTACCCATGATTTGGACTGTCATTATGCCTCAGTTTTATTTAAGAGTAAAGCCAATAGCTTATTTCCCCCTTGTTCTCTTTCTAATTCTTTCTCACTTTGCTAGCCAGAACCCAGAGGCATCTGCCCACGCAGCCATTTTGAAACTATCCAAACAAAAGGCTTCAGGGAAAAGGGGTAACTGAAGAATATATGCTTTTATACCATCGTGGGATGAGGTTTGCTTTTCACCAGATTGAATACCACCCCCCTCCCCTGAATATTTTAAATTCCACGTGACCTACTTTCCTTATAATAAACAAATTTTTGAATAACTGCCTACGGTTTTCATTCTGCTGCACTTGAACACTATTTTGCTACATCTGCTAGGAAATGGCATATTTTTGGATGCAAACCGACGCCCTCGAGCTTAAAATCAGCGAGTCCGTGCATATCTAACATTCTGTTTATATGCAAAAATGGAAATGAGGTATCCCAGCATTCACATCTAAACATTGTGGGAGTAGGAAGTGTACATGCATGCAAGGAACCTATAAACGCAAGTATTCCGGTTTACCTTACATAGTACACAGTCCTTGCCTCTCTCTAAGCGCACCCTACGATTAAAGAGACTGATCTGCAAACCTTCCCACCCAATCTTGCATCAGTTGTGAGTAAAAGCTCAAAACTACAAGGATGAGGAAGGGGCAGTCTAGAGCTACTTGCAGCAGCTTTGCTCCTCGATAAAAGTCATTTTGATCGTGTTATTTTATTCATCAAAATAAGTTTACATGGCTGGCTTGGCCCTCGCTATCATATTCCTTGAGTGGTTTTTAGCTCGTAATGCCCAATAGGCCTCATCACAAATTATATATGCAATGTTCTCAATTGGAAGTTATGTATCACGACCAGCTCTGGATTACCCAACAATTCTGAGTGCTTCAATATTTTTTTAAAAAGGGGGGGGCATAAGACACATGCTCCAATGGTTTTAACTCAAATATTTTCTGAGAATTCAAGAGGCACATAACAAAATTATAACTAGGTGGCTAAGATAATTTTCATCTGGTGGGAATGCTTCCATAAAACATTCATGAAAGAACCTTTCTCACTGAAACACCAGCTTTTTTGAAATGCCATTTTTTAACTGTACCTGGTGTAAGTGTTCCATTAAAAAGCTATCACTCAATTCAGAATAGGAAGCTTGAAAACCTAAACATTTTATCGGAAGAGAATCGGTTCAATACCCAACTACTGGCATTTTTCCAAGTTGCTGTGTGTTTTATAAAAAACAGAGTTTGTGAAGCACCCTTATTTTCTCCATCATCACTGCTGCTGCCGCTGAAGACGACTATCAGCTGTAGCAGGAAAGCCAAAACTTGCTCCTAAATTTTCCATCACTGTTGGTCTTTCCCTGAAAGACCTTTAACTCACAGGAGCAAAAGGGAGAGGTCAAATCTCTCGAGCTGCAATGAAGAATTGTTTTGCACGGCAATTCTTCTATTTGCCACAATTTTGTACTAAACTGTCGTAACGGTCTGATGCAACGATAACTTCTTTAAACACTTGAGCATGCCAATGGAAAGGTGGGACAATTCAACAAATATCTACATGCGTACATCTCTTCAACCAGCGATACATACATTCTGGGTTACAGTAGCATCACCAGGATGTGGAAAAATATTTAGAAATATTTATTTATGGTGATACAGTTTACCTTTCTAAAAGTAGCATATGATATGTGTGATATTTAGACGGACTGTACTTGGATGCAATGCTAAACTGTGACAAGTTTGTGATCACATTTGGGTATCACTACACTGTAGTTTAGCGTGACATGAATGAGACCAAGGCAAAGCTTGGGCACACTTGGATGATGGGAGTTGTAGTCCATCAGAGGGACCCAAGCTTGCAGAACATTGGTACCGAGGACTGCAAAAGATTGGGGACTTGCTGAAAGTTGGGTGCTCCACCATACGCAAATGCAAGGCCCCCACTGGATACAACCCCATGTTCTTTCTCATTTTAGATGTTTGCAATGTCTGTCCTTGGCACAGACAACCCCAGTATTTGCTGTTCAGCCATGGTCTTCCACATGCCCTTATATACGACCCATTTCCTTCCTGCACGCCTTAAAATGAGCTTCTGAAACCTGCAGAGCTAGCCTGGCCAGAGGCAATAAATCAAAGGAAGTGCTTTCTTCACAGGCAATAAGGGGTCTATCATCTCGCCTTGAACTGTATTTAAAACCGCATTTACTGACGGGGTCCAGACAGCGGCTTCCCATATACCAGAGCGTTCCAAACTTTTCATGTCCGTGACACATTTTTTAGGCATGCATCGTTTCACGACACAGTAATTCAGTTTTACTAGCAAACCAGAAGTTACACTAACCCCTTTCCAGCCCCAGGAGGAACACACCTACACATTGCACAACAACACACTAACGTGTCACGACACACTGTTTGGAAAGCTCTGCCATATACCAATTTACTGCAAGAAGTGTTAGTAAGGAAGCAGTATTGAGCTGCACAAGGTTCTTCCACAACAGCCACATTTAGGGACAGCGATCCTGCAAGACCCCAAGTTCATTTGGACCAGCAGCAAATACCTATCGGTTTGCCCAGGCGCTGAGGTCCAGCGCCGAGGGCCTTCTGGCGGTTCCCTCATTGCAAGAAGCAAAGCTACAGGGAACCAGGCAGAGGGCCTTTTCGGTAGTGGCGCCCGCCCTGTGGAATGCCCTTCCTTCAGATGTCTACCTAACATTTAGAAGACATCTGAAGGCAGCCCTGTTCAGGGAAGTTTTTAATGTGTGACATTTTAATGTATTTTTTAATCTTTGTTGGAAGCCGCCCAGATGGGCGGGGTACAAATATTATTATTATTATTATTATTATTATTATTATTATTTGCACACACACACTCCATGTAGCTTGTCAATGTCAAGCATACGGAACAAGCCTGTTCAACACCGAGAAACCCTGGTTTCAGTCAACAAAGCAGATCTGCAGAAACAAAGGAAAGTGTGTTTGAATTAGCTGTCTGTGTTTAAACTAAACAGAGACCCATATCAGAGGTGACTGCGATATGATAGTCCAAATGTGGTGATTTGCGTCAGGTGTTGCCTGAGCATCCTTTGGGTTTCCGGCTTGATTTTTAGCATGTTTTCAAACTTTATTCCATTTTAGAAAACTGAGATGCTGTAATCAGGCTCTGTGTGCTCCAGGATCAAAGTCAGGGCCGTCTTAAGCATATCCGGCGCCGTGGTGCAAATATCCCGCCCGCCCGCCCCACCCCGTTTCCCAGAGTTGTTGACCTTTTCCCAAGCCTCTGCGGGGATCGCTCTCCTCCCGCGGAGGCTTGAGAAGGAAGCTGCATGCCCGCCAGCCATATAGTTGATGGGGCACAACTGGTAGGCGTGCAGGGAAAGGGGAGGGCACCGGCAAAGCCGCGGAGCTCCCCCACTCACTGGGGCGCCCCGGGGAGGCCAGCGCCCTGGCGTGACATGCCAGTAAGCCCTATAGGAAAGACGGCTCGGATCAAAGTACACTACAATTGCCTTAAAACTATGAACTGTGTCGGAATGAAATTTCATAACATTGTGGATTTTTCTCTATTCTTATACTACACAAGGTTCTATTTTCTTTCTTGTAAGCCAATTCAATTGCTTATCTTATTAAAACAAGCATGTAATAAAACTATTAAGCTGTGCAGTTCTGTTTTCTCGGCTATCTGGACTCTGGCTTTCTAGGTCCTGTTAGCATTTTTTTCTACGTGCAGGCAACGCTTGCCTGATTATGCTCTGCTATAAAACAGTTGCATAAACAGTACAGAAATGTTTCCAAGAGACTGTTAATCTTGCTGCACTTTTAGTGCTCCTAACTACAATTCAAACATTTCAGTATACTTTCTCGTGCAAAAATGAAAAATTATTATGCAGTCATTCCAAGTTTTCAAAGGGCCTTCTAAACTCGAAGAAATGGGCTGCTTTGGGATGGAATGCGATAACTGGGGCCAAAACAAAGTTTAACTAGGCTGTTAATCTGTGGTCTACTTTTTCATTTTGGCCGAAGTGCAAAACACGCCTACAAAAGATTAATGTCTAATCAGTGCCAACAGACGGTTGCTCAGGCCTGCATATCACGAAGGTCCTGCATATACTGTACACTGCATGGCCATTTTCTTTATGGCAAAGCAGTATGGAGAGGAAGAGATTTCAAAAAGAGAAACAGCAATGGCTACTTTAACCTTTATCTCTCCCCTGCTTCTCCTGCAGGACTACAAGCATTGCAAACCCATGTCTGGAACCCAGGGGATAAGAGGGGCAATTGAGAACAGATGAGAAATAGGCTGAAAAACAGGTAATCTTCATCCCAAATCATTCTCTGCCCCATATTGCTTTGGGGAAGTTCATATTGTCTGCTACAGTACTTCAAACTTTGTTCTGAAGGCTGTAATCATATATATATTTAATTTTATTTATTTATTAAATTTGTATACCACCCCTCATCCAAAGATCTCAAAGCGGTTCACAGCATAAAAATACAAAGCTGTAACACAAAATAACCCTCATACTATTCTTCCTGGTAACTGAGGTGCCCCATTGAAATCCTTATCCTATATAAAAAAGCAAAAAGAGTTTTCCGACAAGGTCAATATGGGAAATATGGGAAATATCCAAAATAGGATATTGCCTAACAAGTGAACAGCAATACTTTATGTTATTATTTTAAAATATGTGGTTGTTGTTTTTAAGAAAAGGAAAAGAAATTAGTTTATTTCCTCATTGCACAAGCTGCTGAAAGAGCTATATATTTCTGTGTCTTGAGGGAGAAACTTCATACAAGGAGAATTGCTGGTAATATTTACACTGTTAGAAGAGGCAAAAATTAACAGCAAAATCAATTTTTTGAAATAAGTCAATTTTAAACAGTTACACCCCTCAGTCCCTTTACCCTTGGTACCCGGTGGATCCTGACTTCAAGAAAAGTCTCATTCCAAAACCAAAGCAGCTGCCTTGAGGGGAAATAAATGATTGCACAACTCCCAACTTCTTTCTGGCTTTCAGAGCACCGAAGTTTGCACGCTATAAAGAACAGAAAGGGCCCTTTTAGGGAAACTATGACAGGCAACTGCCACATTTCATTAAGTCCAAAAGGAGAATGCAGACAGTATCCTTCAAAAATAAGTAGTTCCATGTTACAGACACCCAACAAATTACTCACATTTGCAATTTGATCAGGTGTTGTCAAAACCGTAATGAATACGAACACAATTTTTTCTAAATCTATTCAAGTATTTCATTTCCTCGGTCAAGATCTCCAAAGCTGCAGTAGGCATGCCATTTCTACATGTGCCTTAGAAACGGGGGAAGATAATATACTCTCTCTTTTTTTGCACAGAGCACCAAATGGTCTAATTTAATGTGTTACACCTCCTCCATATACCACCTTAAACTATTACAAACAAAAGGTTTGAGCTTTCAATCATACCCTGCAACGTCTCTTATTTCCTACACCCCATATTTTACTAGCCTGATTAAGAGCTTTGCTGGAAGAATGCTCATTTCTTTCAGAATTTTTTAGATAGATCAAAAATAGTAATGGTATGATGCCACAGTTGCTTTTGGATTCTGTCTCTCCCCCCCCCCCCAAAAAAAAAAAATTAAAAAAAAATGGAAGAAGTTTCTAGGTCAACACTGATACCTGCACTTCTGCTTAGGAAAAAAAATTAAGACTGGTTTTGAAATTAGACATGCCTTACCAAGTTTGCTTTTGGCGTTATATCAGATTGCCTTATGAGTGTTGGGGACGGGAAACGAAGGGGTAAGATAAAGTAAATGGGACTTGTTCCTCAAGATGAAATCATTTTCCTTATTGCGCCAACAAAACAGGGTTGCAACATTAACACAGCCATCCTATGTTTGTACTCAGGAGGAAGCCACAGTGAGTTCAATGGGACTTACTCCCAGGTAAACAGGTACAGTGGTACCTCGGGTTAAGTATTTAATTCATTCTGGAGGTCTTTTCTTAACCTGAAACTGTTCTTAACCTGAAGCACCACTTTAGCTAATGGGGCCTCCTGCTGCCACCGCGCCGTTGGAGCACAATTTCTGTTCTCATCCTGAAGCAAAGTTCTTAACCTGAAGCACTATTTCTGGGTTAGCGTAGTCTGTAACCTGAAGCGTATGTAACCTGAAGCATATGTAACCCAAGGTACCACTGTATACGATTGCTCCCTTAATCAGTGAATTGGTTAATTTCAGAACTTTTACTCAAATACAGAGACGCCTCAAATAATCAGGGAGCAGACTTAATGATTTTCTTTTTGACTAACAGTATATTTTTTTTTAATATAAACTTTCACAAAATCTTAAGATGGCTGCTTCCCATCTGCAAAGAGCCATTCTCCCTGCTCTCATACGGGAAATGCTTTCCTACTACATTGAGCAAGTGCATTACCAAAAAAAGTACAGAAAATATACTTCTTGATTTACCCATCTACTGATTGAGAGAGGAAAAACCAGGAGGATTAATCAATTAAATCGACTTTAATCAGGTTGCAGCTCTCATCACTGACTTACAACGACATTTCAGATTTGAGTGCTGAACCAAGGTACTAACTAACTTTCCCAACATCACCCTGCGATAGTAAGGCTTAAGCAAGGCTGAATCTCAGAGATAGTGCTGCTGCTGCTACTGCTACTGAACGTTCTTGTCTTTTTCTCTCCTCCACAGCAGTTGGCATGCTTTCATGCTTCCCGAACCTCTGTTATGTATCTCGCTTTGAAACCACTTGTAACAGCACTGTGCCCCCAGCAGCCCAATACCAGATTTTGCGAGGTTAAACTAGTGCGGTAGTAGTTATCCAAAGCTTACAGAGGTTGTGTTGGCGATGGTGATGATGTAGCAAACACGACATAAAAATAAACATAAAACACACACACGAAAAACAGATTTCACTTAATTTCGATAAAGCTAGAACGACCAGAAGCAAAGGAGAACAGGAGTCCTGAACCTTCATCAATATTTTTGTTGCAGTGGCATGCAAAATTGCCAAATTGCCTTCAAAGCAAAGTAGCCTGACAAGTTGTTTGCTTGGTGCAGCCACTGCCGAAACACCTTTTCTGAAGTGGCCCCCTTCAGCAGGGAATCATGTACACTGGCCCTTAATCTATTATTTTTTATTATTTTTTTTGCAAGAGGCACTTGAGAGCAAGTACAGTACAGTACTGACATTTAAGTTTGAACTTAATGGAGATTAAAGGCTGGAGGTGCCCACAGAAAGCCTCACACACCTTTGCCACAGACCCCTTTCTGGAGCCTTCCAAAACCTCAAAAGGACACTTGTTTTCTTGTAGTTGTGATATCTGCATGCCAAATCCTCCATTCTGCCTAGAGCACTGACTTTCAAAATGCCTTAAAAAATACTTAGATGGCGATATAGATCCATTTGTGCCTGTACAGTGCCCCAAAGCCACAGAACCCTACACAAGCGTTGCAACCTTTGCACTTGTAGATATGCAGATAATTAACAGTCCTGTAAAATGTAAGGCCGAGCCCTGACAGACCAGAAGGTGGGGGAAGGAAGAGGGCGATTATGAAAGAGATGTCGAGAGATGCCAAGGGAATTATTTTTTTAAAAAAATGCTCTTGTCTTTCGCCCTCTCCTGCTTGCGGTGCCAATCGAAGGTACATCACCCAGAGCCACGAATATACCATGCCCTGAGCTTCAGGAGTCCACACACAGCAAAACACTTTCATACCACGGCACCATTTGTTTCCACCCTGGGAAAACAAGAGGGCAGTTGCTTCTTCGCTGCTCCCGTTTTTAAAAAGCAAACACAGAAGATGTGCTGTGTCAGTCTGAAGTTGTCTGCTCCTGGAAACAGTTAAGTTGCATCAGTAACCATACATTTCAAGCTTTCTTGCACCACTCTACACAGTCCTGGAGAATGTTGGAACTGTATTTTGTGGAGGGTGATGGGAATTGTAGCTCCGTGAGGTCAACCCCCAGGATTCTTTGGGAGGAATCCATAACTGTTAAAAAGTGGTGCAAGAGTGCTTTTTAATGTATGGTGTGCATGTGGCCTTAGAAAAAACACACACACTGTGCAAACCTATACATATCTACTCAGAAGCCAGTCCTACGGAGTTCAATGAGGCTTACTCCCAAGGCCTAGTGATATTATACAAGTCCAAACCTGCCACAACTTTCACTCCGTGAATGAAGAATTATGTAACATCATGCATTGTGTGTATGGAAACCAGGGAGAGGTATGCGTGCACTTTTCCTTTTGTTACCGTCAACAAGAGTATCTCGAAAATAGAAATAAATTTCCAAGCCTCGGGACAGCTTTGAACGTGTGTAAAAAACCCCCAAGAAACAACTATTTTGGGTGTGGTGCAGTGCTTGGCAAAACTGCAAGTTTTGTTGCATACGCACCCTTACACTTAAAAGTATGTTGCTTCCCCCCAACGATTCTCGGGAACGGTAGTTTCTTGGGGGCTCTGAGGATGGTGGTTCTGTAAACTACAGTTCCCGTGATGATTGGAGTGGGGGTGCTTTGAATTTGTGGTGCATATGCAGCCAGTCTGAGGCCTCATCCAGGAATCTATTATCAGCAGAAGTGAAATGGTGGGTTTTAACTAGGGAGAGAGGCTTTTCAGAGATGGTACCCGTGCATCCCAGAGTCGCCAACACTTTCCTCATTTTGATGGCAGATTAAGACATTTTCATTTCCCAAGGCTTTATGCCATTAGACTGTATTGCTGTTTGCTGTTTAAATATTTCTTCTACAATAAGGTGGTTGGGTTTTTTTGAAAAATGCTTCTAGATGACCCTCATGGTCCCTTCCAACTTTACAATTCCAAACTTAACTTATTTTTCTGTGATTTTTGTGCGCGTGCGCAAAATTGTTTGTTTTATTTGTTGTAAGTGGATTTTGGTATTTTAACAGTTAGGTAGCACTGAAGTACGTTAAATAAATACCCAAAGCATTTGCTAACGGTTATTTTGAGTACTAGCACTGGTAACTCTGGTATGGGCTACAATCCCGTAACCAGTGTGCAAGTCCCATGGAACATATTGAGGCTTACTTTTGAGTAAACAAGCACAGGATTGTGCTGCTAAGTTAATTCGCCACTGAAAAGCAGCTTACAGCTTCCTTTTTTAGTGGCATGGTGTTAAGTCTAAGCATGTTCCTAGAAACTACCAAAAACGCCCACTTCATGTTTGCACACATACACTATGGCCAAGCACCACACAAAGAACCAGATCCCAAGATGGGAAGCCATGTTTTAATAGAAAACATCTGAAAACACCACAGTGCACGCCTCCTTCCAGACCCATGTCACCACAGCAAAATAAACAAGTGAGTTGTATTCATAGGTGACAATTTACACATTCCCCTTCCACATTGAAAAATTATACCATCAGCAACAGTCCACTTTTAAATGGCTCAGGATTGCAGTATCAAAAGGGCCGCCTCCCCCCATACGAATCAACCCGGACCCTGTGATCAACATCTGAGGCCCTTCTTCATGTGCCCCCTTCATGAGATCAAAAAAGCAGCAGCACAAGAAGGGGCCTTTTCTCCATTGGCTCCCCGCTTGTGGAATGCTCGCCCCTGGGAAACTCGCCTGGGTCCTTCATTATATATCTTTAGGTGCCGAGCAAAAACATTCCTCTTCTCCCAGGCCTTTGCCTCATTAAATAATCTATGGTGCTTTAAATTGGGGGGGGGGGGCAGGAATGTTTTTTTACTATGGTATATATTTTGGAGGGTTTTATACTGTAAATCGCCTTGTGATCCTCAGATGAAGGGAGGTATAGAAATTTTAATAATAATTAAAAAATAGTAATAATAGGCCAGTAAAGCGAGATGAGCGCCACAACCCCAGAGTCATCTGCGACTGGACCTAATGGTCAGGGGTCCCTTTACCTTTAAAGGGGACCAAGATGACCACAGGCAACTCAAGTGTTTCCTCCCCTCCTCCCTTCTTCTCCATAGATCTCCTTCAAATAATTTAGGAATCAAAGCTTCTAGCCCAAGCCTCCAAAAGTGTTCTTGTTTTCAAGATTTCAAGACTCAAGCCGTTTCAGAACCCATCATAGCTGTCAACTTTTCCCTTTTCTTATGAGCAATCCTATTCGGAATAAGGGAATTTCTCTTAAAAAAAAGGGAAACCTTGACAGCTATGGAACCCATCCGGGGTGCGCTATCTCCTTATCCCAAATTCGCAGGGCCCGTGGTGCACACACACACACACACACACCCCGCCGACGAGAGCAGCGCTCTGCACATGCCCAGAAGCACTGCTTTCTTTTTACAAATTTGCACTCTGCCCCAGATTGGTGGTCCAGGTTTCGTTTTTGATTTTCGGGCAGGTCCCAGGCTCAGGGGGAGAAGAAACAAAGCCCCCGGGTGAGTCCCGTGGGTCTTTCCAACTTAAAGCACCCGACTGCCCGCCAGCAGCTACCCCGGCCTCGCCGTCGGGGATGGCTGCGCCCGCCGGTGAGTCAGCGCGCTCGTGTGCGCTGCGTCACGGAGGACGGGGCGGGCCGGCGCCGAAGCGAAGCCGGCAGCTGACAGCCGCCCTCGCAAGCGGGGAAGTGGGTGGCGCCGGCTGCCTTCGCCCCGCCCCGAGCCGACGGGAGGAGAACGCGCAACGAGGCCTGGCTCGCCCCTCCCACGCCCCTTAGGGACCTGCGATGGGGAAGGGGCTGCCCCTTAGGGACCCTCTCCTTGCTCAGCCCGGTGCCGTCGCAAGGAAGGCGGGGGAGGGGGGCGTTGCGGGTCTCACCTGCGGCGCCTCCACCTCCATAGTGCCGAGAAGGAGGTTGGCGCAGCGGGCCAGGCTCCCGGGGCGGCTGGGTTGGGCAGCGCTCGGCTTCTTCCCCGATGGACGGGCGCGCTGGAAAGCTTCTGCTGGCTCGGCCGTCCGCTCCGTCGCGCTTCCCCGCTGTCCCCTTCTCTGCCCGCCCCGCGCTGCCGGGAAAGTCTCCGCCGCCTGTCCTGCTCCGCCCCGCCTTCTCCCGAGCCACTCACGGGCCCCGGGAGGAGCAGGAGGAAGGAGGGCGGAGAGGACGGCCCCTTCTGCTCCGTGGAGCGCAGCCAGGCTTGGGGGAAGGCAGGCGGGCGCGCCGGTGGCGAGATAAGCTCAGCAGGCGCGGCGGGAGGAAAACAAACCCCAGGCCGGCCGGTTTCAAGGAGAGGAAAGGTCCTTCCTTGCTCTCCAGTGCCGGATTGACGTATAAACTAAACAAGCTGTAGCTTAGGGCCTCACTCTTGGGGGCCCCAAAAAAATTTAAAGGAAGAAAAAAACTGGATGTAATTTCCAAAATATAAGATAATAAAACCTACATACAGCAACAGTGTTTTGTGTTGTGTAAGCTCCTATGATGCAAGTCATAGGCCCCGCCTGCAAGCCTGCTCCCTAAAATATCACTGGTTTGCTCATTTCTCTATATAGGGTGCCTACATTCTGCATGTGCAAATGGCTTTAGATACCTATTAGTTCCATATATTACCATATAGCATATAGTCAGCACAAAAAACAGCGGCAATTTGTTGTTGACAAAGGACAGCTGGACATATAAATGGCCCCATTACCTTCAGTAGCTTAGGGCCTCATCAAACCTAAACCCAGCCCTGTCCATGACGGCTGGGCTGCTGCCCAGTCCCTCCCCGCTTTTGTGTCCTTCAGAGTCGCGGAGGGGGGTGTTTTTGCCTTGGCAAGTTCTGGGGTGGGCAGGAAATGCTACAAATTAGATGGATAAATAATGGTGAATTGGTATATTGGTGGAATGCTAAACCAGACGATGACGTGCAAAATATCTAGGATGTCTTTTTATTTCATCATGGCAGTAATAGCGTTCTTAATATGAACCCCATGATTTTGACATCCTACAAGGGTTTGCATCCCCTTCCTCCACATGCAGCTGCTGGGTGATCTTGGGCCAGTCACACTTCTCTGGAGTCTCTCAGCCTCACTCACCTCACAGAGTGTTTGTTGTGGGGAAGGAAGGGAAAGGAGATTGTTAGCCGCTTTGAGACTCCTTCGGGTAGTGATAAAGCGGGATATCAAATCCAAACTCTTCTTCTTCTTCTACAAGTTTACTACTTTCACATCCCACTACGACTTGCGAGACCAGGGTTCAAAGCCCAGGTGACATTGGGCCAGTCTCTGCCTCTCTGCCTAACCCAATTTTCACAGGAGGAGGGTGTGCATGCCACCTTGGGCTTCTTGCAGAAAAAGGTGGGATACAAATCCAGTAACTTATATTAGGGTCTGCAACCCCTGCTTGCCAGCCCCACCTTTCCCCTTGTCGCCACCCCTCCATATCCCCATAGAGCCTCTTTGTGTGTCCATCCCTGCTTTATTCAAACTTCTACTGTTGTTTAAAAAAACATTTTAAAACCTGTCTGTAGCAGTATAAAGCCCTTAACTTATTTGGAACTAGTTTACTTGGAGAATTGGATTACCCTGTACAGTATGTGCCTATTCAACTGCTTTGATTGGTTGAACTGGCCCTGTTACAAGTGCAGCACAATACTGTACTCATTCTGCAATTGTAAGAAATCAAGCTTTTAGTGTGGCAGCACCCCACTTTGGAACTCACTGCCTATTGATATCAGCCTTTGCTGTGCTTTTTTCAGCACTGGCTGCAAACATTTTTCTTCCATCGCGCCTATTCAGAAATGTAGGCATCGACATAAGTATTTAGTTTGACTGCTGGTATATATATATATAGAGAGAGAGAGCTTTGTTTTTGTGAACTGCTTATAGAGCATAGCTGTCAATTTACAGATTTTAAATTAAGGGACCAGCAGCCTCGAAAATAAGGGATCAGCAGCCAAAATAAGGGATTTTCAGAGCACAGGTTTTGTTCAACTTCTGAGCCTCTCCGAGGCAAAGGCAGAAAGCCCAGCCAGCAGCCAAACGAAGCCTCAAGCGGTGGTTCCCACAGCGCAGCAACCCGGCAAAGGGGATGCAACAAGGAAAACCACCGTCCCCTCTCCGCTGGAGTCCCCAGGCAATGTGGCCGATTTGATTGGCACAAGGCATGCAAGCTCCACCCCCCAGTCATTCTTAGACTCCTTATTGGGTGAGCAACGCAGCCAAGCAACATAGTTGGAGCTTCCCTCCTCCCTGACTGGCAGGGAGGGAGGGAGGGAGAGGAGCTGCTTCCTTTGAAACCCGGGAAATTTAAGGGACAGCAGTGGTACACAGCACTGGGATAAGGGACTTTCCCGCCAAATAAGGGACGGTTGGCAGCTATGTTATAGAGCCTGTTTTCAATCATAAGGTATATCCATTTCCTTAAATATGAGTAGGTATTCCTTGCAGGACAGCTGGAGAGGTGGCAAGAAGCAACTGGCCCTGCCTCTGCAAGCTTGTTCTCTCTCACTTGCCAGTGTGGGGCTTGTTGGGACTGAGCCTGCTGCACTTCCCAAGCGGAAACAAGTGAGTTGGGGCAGTGGCTGTGACTAGCCACTTCCCTCAATACAGCACCTTCCAAGCCACACCCCTTTCCCCAGGCCCCAACTTAAGCAGCCCTGTCCCTCCCTCCCCCCTTGAGTAACTTTGCCCAGCTGGAATGTGCCCTTGTACTCTTGATAATGCCAGTTGGTTGCCAGGATAGAAGAAAGAGAGGGGTGTGCAGGAAACCAGCCAACCCAAAGAAGGTAACATTTACATTCATTGTTCTGCCCACTTTGGCCCTGCCCACCTGTGGCATTTGCCCCCCAATCCCACCCAATATTCCCCAGATGGAAATTCAGTCCTCGGTCTGGATAAAGGCTCTCCACCCAGTTTACGAGGGAGTTCTCACCATTGTAAACTTATCTGTAGACTGCTGAGCAACCCTCATTCTGCTTGACCCATTAACCCAGAAGGACTGGATTTGCAGTTTAAAAGTCAATGTGAAGAGCACTTTCTATATCTCTGTGAAGGGCAAAGTCTCTTAATTTCGGTATTTAGTAACACAATTTGCACACCACTTAATATATGAAATATTTCTATGGCAGCTAGTATAGTTTTGGTATAACTCATGATCATAGGAATTGTAGACTGGAAGTCCAACCCCCTGCAATGCAGGAAAATGTAGCTGTCCCGTATGGGGATCGAACCTGCAACCTAGTGCCACCTCAGCTGCAACACAAACTTAGGAAACAACCATATGTGATGTGTGCTCAATGATTGGGGAAAGGGGTTTGTTTAAAAACAACAACAACAATTTGATTATTGACATCTATGACTGGTTGGTTAAAATGAGTTAATCTTTGGTTAATCTGAGTTACTTCTGGGAGGCTTACAAGGTCCCTGAAATTACTCTTAGTATGAATTAGTACTCTTTCAGCCAGCCTGTTTTATCCTCTGGATGCACACCTGGGATTTTAATTTGCCATTAAATGCATGAACCAATGTGCTCTTTTTATATACATGGTGGTGTAAAACACAGGCTTATAGCACTATTATATCACTTTTAACACCTTCAGTTCCTGGTCTCATCCTGCCCGGAACATCCTCAGTGAGGCATGCCACCAGACTCAACGCAAGTAAAGCATATCCCACAGAGCGTTTAAACTGGGTAATTGTTCTTTGATATTGCCGCATGTCGTCACTTGACCAGCATGGACATCTGTATGGCGTGGTCCTACTACGATGCTGGCAAGCACTTAGCCCCCTATCACACATGCCAATATGACAGAGTTGCTTCTCCCCTAATGCTATTTGCCACAGAGGGGATTTTCATTGGGATCACAGCTAAGGAGCCCAGCGTTAAACCTGTGTGCTGTGATCCTGATAAGACATGGAAGAACCCTACTGAGTGTGCATTATAGAAAACAGAAACAGGCATGGTTGCTAATCATGCAGTAAAAATAGCTCCTGACTTAATTCCCTAACTTATCAGTAGCTTACGCATAATTGGAATAGTGGGTTGCTTCTCTCACCACCATGTATTAATAAACAAGCTGAGTCTCTTTACTCCCACAAAGTTGCATAAGAATAAACCTCATTTAGGGAACCAGACAGGGAACCAGACAGAGGGCCTTCTCAGTAGTGGCGCCCACCCTGTGAAACACCCTCCCTTCAGATGTGAAGGAAATAAGCAGCTATCCTATCTTCAAAAGACATCTGAAGGCAGCCCTGTTCAGGGAAGTTTTTAATATTTAATGCTGTATTGTTTTTAACATTTGATTGGGAGCCGCCCAGAGTGGCTGGATGGGCGGGGTATAAATAACTCAGCCAGATGGGAGGGGTATAAATAATAAATTATTATTATATTATTATTATAATGTGGTGGGACTTGCTTCCGAGAAAAGGTACAAGTTTGGACTGTAAAAGCAGCTGTGGTTGCCTTCCTCTTTTGACCCCAGTCTTGCCCTAGCTTCACTTCTCAGTACAGGTTGCCTGGATTTTCTGGTTCTTCAGAACCTCAGGCTGGGCAAGAGAGAGAGAAAAGGTTTATTTCCCAGCCAGAGGTAGAGAGACTTCGGTAAGTCCCTGTGAGTTCCCGCTCTCCTCCGCAGATATCTTGCAGTTTTTCAGAGATGCTGAAGGGAGAGAGGGTTGGGGAGGCAAGGCAGTTCACACTATCCCAGAGGGCTGGAGCAGTTGGATGTGTGGCAACAGATAATGGCACTTCCTGTTTTCTGGGAAGTCTCCTTTCCTGGTCTGTTGCCCAGTTGTTAAAGCAAAATTGCACTAATTATTTAATTAAAAAAAACTCAGGAAGTGCCCCTGCTCTAATTCCCTGTAAAATCAGGTTTAAACCTATGTTGCAGTGCATAAGGAAAACAGCACTCTCTCTGGTGTTGTGTAAAATCATTCCAATGCCACTTCATTTTTGCAGTATTAAAAGGCTCAAGTGTCATGTGGATGCCCCCTAAGAAGCAAGTGAATACATTATATAGCTTTTCTGGAGTAAATGCCTTGTCTGGACACATCCAGGAGTCATTCTGTTTCCATAGAATCATAGAATCATAGAGTTGGAAGAGACCACAAGGGCCATCGAGTCCAACCCCCTGCCAAGCAGGAAATGAAGTAGCTAGCGAGGGTGCTTCCAAGAAGCCTACATGTAGGGCTTGAAGATAACACCACTCCCCTGTTTCTACTCCCCCTCCCCCCGCAACTGCTATTACAGGACATAACTCATCTGAAAATGAAGGTACCACATAGCTATTGCGACTAATAGCCACCGATACACCTGTCTTCCATAAACCTGCCTAAAATTGAGACGCTTTATTTGTCTATGGACTTTTTGCATGGACTGCAAAAAGATCAAACCGATCCATCCTGAAGGAAATCAGCCCTGAGTGCTCACTGGAAGGACAGATCCTGAAGCTGAGGCTCCAATACTTTGGCCACCTCATGAGAAGACTCTCTGGAAAAGACCCTGATGTTGGGAAAGATGGAGGGCACAAGGAGAAGGGGACGACAGAGGACGAGATGGTGGGACAGTGTTCTCGAAGCTACCAGCATGAATTTGACCAAACTGCGGGAGGCAGTGGAAGACAGGAATGCCTGGCGTGCTCTGGTCCATGGGGTCACAAAGAGTCGGACACGACTAAACAACAACAACAACAACAACAACAACTTGTCTATGGACTATAGAGCTTCAGACAGCTCCTTTTGGAACTTCTGTTTCTGGTTGTAGAAAATAATAGTCTAGTACCTCGCTGGTTACAGTGGTACCTTGGGTTACAAACACCTTGGGTTACAGACTCCGCTAACCCAGAAGTAGTACCTCAGGTTGAGAACTTTACCTCAGGATAAGAACAGAAATGGTGGCACCGTGGCAGTAGCAGGAGGCCTCATTAGCTAATGTGGTACCTCAGGTTAAGAACTGTTTCAGGTTAAGAACAGACCTCCAGAACGAATTAAGTACGTAACCAGAGGTACCACTGTATTTTAGCATATTAAGATAGTGTATATAATATAGTGAGATATTCCTGTGCTATGCTTCATCCTGAAATTCTGCTACCTGGCTGAGATCATGAGATGAGTGGCAAAGACTAAGGCTGCACACACACACACCAGACATTTACAGCATATGACTTTCCTCAAAGAATTTTGGGGACTGGAGGCTGAATTTAACATAGTATGCAATGGGAATCCCCATTCCCGTCCCCGCCCCGCCCCCCACTCCCTGCACAGATCCAGAGCAGATTTATGGGGTGTGCAGGAGGAAGGGGGGGGGAGTCCTGCTGCCCAAGCTGACTTTGTTCCACACTTGCAACAGTTTTGTTGAATCTCACCCTGTAGTTTGAGAATTGTAGCTGTGTGAGGAGTAAACTACAGTTCCTGCGATTCTTGGGTGAAATGCACAGTATTGTCATAGAAAAACCCATGTTCTTGTGGGTTTTTCTGAAAGTGAGAGTTTCTTATAAAAATAGTTGTTTCACATGGAGTAGTCGTAAGATCATGAGCAGACCCTTCAAGTGTCCCTGTTTTCCAGTGATAGTTCTGGATTTAAAGAAGCTGTCCCTGATTTGATCCCCAAATGTCATGCTTTTCCTTAGGACGTCCCTATTTTCATCAGAAATTTTTTGGAAGGTATGGAATTATGTGACCCCTGAGACAGATTTGTTTGTTTGCTTGCTTGCCTGCCTGCTTGTTTTTTATTTTATTTTATTTTATTTTAATTTTATATACTGCCCTATACTCGCAGGTCTCAGGGAGGTTCACAGGATAAAAGAGATAAGAGATAAGTAACTATTCAACCTTTAGAAGACATCTGAAGGCAATCCTGTATAGGGAAGCTTTTTTATAATCTTCAAGGTTTTATTATGTTTTTATATATGATGGAAGCCACCCAGAGTGGGTGGAGCAACCCAGTCAGATGGGTGAGGTATAAAAAAATAATAATGATGATGGTGGTGGTGATGAAGATGGAATAGGATGTCCCTATTTCCATCAGAGAAATATTGGAGGGTAAGCATCAGATTAATATTGGCAGAAGGGAGGACAGCCAAAATCAGATCCCTACTCAGCCAAACCCTGGTGCTCTCAGCCAAAACTACTCCATGGGGTGATGTTTGTAATCCGTGGGAGCAGAATTGTGTGCCCTGCGCTTTTTGGAGGAATTCCTCAGCTTGCTGGCATTCCAGGCATAGGCCCCGTCTACCCCTTGCCGACAAAGGTCCGTGCAGTTAAAGCCATGGTTTTCCCAGTAGTGATGTATGGAAGTGAGAGCTGGACCATAAAGAAGGCTGATCGCCAAAGAATTGATGCTTTAGAATTCTGGTGCTGGAGGAGACTCTTGACAGTCCCATGGACTGCAAGAAGATTAAATCTATCTATTCTTAAGGAAATCAGCCTTGAGTGCTCACTGGAAGGACAGATCCTGAAGCTGAGGCTCCAATACTTTGGCCACGTCATGAGAAGAGAAGACTCCCTGGAAAAGACCCTGATGTTGGGAAAGATGGAGGGCACAAGGAGAAGGGGACGACAGAGGACGAGATGGTTGGACAGTGTTCTCAAAGCTACCAACATGAGTTTGACCAAACTGCAGGAGGCAGTGGAAGACAGGAGTGCCTGGCATGCTCTGGTCCATGGGGTCACGAAGAGTCGGACACGACTAAACGACTAAACAGCAACAACAAGTTCAGAATTCTCTTTTGCTAATACTAGCAATTTTGTAGGTAACAAATTGATTGCTAACATTAGAGGGAAATGGAGTGGGTGGGATCTGTGCAGTTCTTTTAGTATAGTTTCAAGCGGTTCCGCTGCAACCTCCAGGCTGCCTGCTTAACAACAGCATGCAAACATCTGCCTAAAAATGATTTTTCATGTGCTTACGTGACGCAGCTGTGCAGTTTATAGAACACTGAAATCAGCTGAATTGGTTGTACACTAAGATAGGCAACATAGCTCCCTTTATTTGTTTGTAGTTACATATACAGTGCAAAATTAATTAGAGCAATAAGCAAATCATGGGATGAAACGCTATTTTAACAACATTCCCATTGCCTTCAGGAGGGCCTGTGGTTTTTAATCCAAAATTTGAAAATCCTGAGTTTGACCCTGACAGGCTTAAGATTTTGCTTACATGTGAACAAACAGACCCCATTGATCCCAAATCAGAACATATCACTGCAAGACCGTCTTTGGCCTCTTACTTTGATAAGCAGTAATATAAGTAGTGGTGCATCGTTTGATTTCTTTAAATTTTTTAGTAAGAGCTTGGAATACCAGAGCAATTAAATCTGTCAGGAAGTATTTCATTTTGGGCACTGCATGTTATCAGCAAAGAAATAGCTCCCACTCGGCGGGTAAAGGAATAAAAAACGGCAGGTTGGTCTATAGGAAAATATCCCCTACGTTAGGTGCACAGTGGAACGAAATTGGTTCCCTGGTGCTCTGTTCCTTGATATTTTAGTCCCCTTTATGATGAAAGAAGCCTCATGATGTTTTTCCATATTCATACCTCTAGCTATACCAAAGCCATTTTATTTTCTGTAATCCTAAACTCTGTCAACACCCACATCTTGTGTTGCCTGAAGAGAAAAGATGTGGCTGGGATGAAAAAGGATAGATTAAAATTGTGTGTGTGTGTGTGTGTCTGCCTGTCTGTCTGTCTGTCTCCCATACTCAACATGAAGCCACATGAAGCCGCTTTTCAATATTAAAAGAAAGGCATGGGTAAAATAACGACAGAACTTAAAACAATTACAGAATGTAAAACTACCCAGAATGTGTTGTTTGTTCTGCCCAAACAGAGTGCAACTGAGTACAATAAACTCAGGTACAATGTAAGCAAACAACCTGGCCTAGGTTATTTCACAGAAATAGAAGATTAAGTATTGAGGCCATAGAGCATGTTTGCGTTGATTTTGAGGCGTGTTTTAAAAGGAGTCAAAGATTTATTTAAAACGGAGGTGGCATTGTGTAAGGAAGATAGAATGAGAGAGAATGTGTGAGGGGGCACTGCATGATGGGGAATAAGTTTCAGAATAATTTAGCATCAGATGAAAATACTTTATCGTTACGTTCATCTGATATGAAAAAAATACAGAGAAACTAGTTGGGAGAAACAAACGCCAAGGCATTAGGTTAAGAAAACGTTAAGCATGGAAACCAAGGGACTTCTATAAAGGAAGTTCAGGCTCTTGCAAAACTGAGAGGAAGTGTGAAAACTTGTGAAATAGGGAAGCCTGAAAATGAGGAAGGCTGAGGTAAAATCCACCCAAGTAGTGTTTTGAGTTGAACACAGAAACTACCACCGCTAATTACGTAAATATTACTGTACTTTTGTGCACTTTGTTTTCCCCTGACCTGACCTGACTGTTTATACCCTCCCACTGTATGTTTACATACCTGAAAACTGAGAATCACTCCATGCAACTGAAAAGAGCAGCTCCAGACTGCAAGGGTTTTGCAGGAGTTAGGTACTAGTTTGAGCATTTAAAGTGGATCAAAGCACTTGTGCCGCCCTGGTGCAACAATTCTAGTCTTAAAATACCAAAGGGGTATAGGGTGTGCTTTGGAAAATGATGGGAAAATGCATTAAAAAGTATTGTGTGAACAAATAACAGAAAGATATGTGAACAGCAAACAAACTGTATTGAATGCAGGATGAATGCCCATTATATAACCGCAATAAATTAGAACAAGTGCTTATTAAACACTAGATATAATCTAACCTCAGCGTAAGCTTTGTGCAAACAAATCAGGGTAGGTCTTCAATCAATTGGTGAACTGGAGGTCACCAAACTGAAGTGGACTGTACTCCAGGAAAGTTATGTCACAATAAATTTATGTATGCACACAACCTATTTAAAGCACATTTCCCCCACCCCAAAGAATCATGGGAATTGTAGTTTACTCCACCCAGAACTACATTTACCAGCACCCGTAACATACTACGGTTCCTACTGTACTTGGTGTTTGTGTGCTTTAAATGTATGGCGTATATGCAGCCACCATCTGTAAGGTGCCACAAGGCCCTTTTGCATTATAACAAGTT